TGCCAGCATGACCCAGACATCACCGAAAACACAGACTAAGTGATTAAGGTAGTTTCATAACAAATGGGAGGACACATATAACTGGATTAGAGAAGTAACCAGAACAGATCAGACCGCTCACAGTGCAGAAAGGAACGTGAGCTTGTGCATTGTGCACAGAAATATAGGAAAGTAATATGAATATGGAGACTGAATCTCACAAGCCCAGGATAAGACAGGCAGGTGCTTCGAAATCTGTCGGTAGTGAAGGGGTTTTTGTCTCCCCCAAAGAGACCAATGCTCAGTAGAAACCAACAGCTGCTGAATGGGCTTGGGCATACTCCACAAACAAGCAGCCGTTATCGAATCATTCCCTTAAATGCTCTGCGACACTGAGCTCCCTTCTCCTTCCTGATTCAGACATTGCAACTCAAATATCCTGTGGGCTTACAAAAGGGGAAATCCTGGTAACAGAAGTGTTGGCCCCTTAGGGTGCAAAACCCATTCTATCATGTCTTCCTATGGTTATTTTTTTTAAAGCTTTTATTTATTTATTCATGAGAGACACACAGAGAGAGGCAGAGACATAGACAGAGGGAGAAGACAGAGGGCTCCCCTGCAGGGAGCCCAATGCAGGACTCAATCCCAGGACCCCAGGATCACTAGCTAAGCCAAGGGAGATGCTCAACCACTGAACCACACAGGTACCCCTTCTTATGGTTATTCCTGCCATAGTTCTTATCCTATAGTCAACTGCAGTGTGGCAGCAACAATGAATGTGCCCCCTAGCTCTCAGGTGTTTTGATTTGAAAAATGGCATTTTGGTCATCTTAATTTCTATGACGATTGTAATGAAATTGCAGAAAACATAAAAGATTGATCTCTTATCTAAAGACAAACTAGAGGGACACCTGGGCGGCTCAGCAGTTGAGCATCTGCCTTTGTCTCAGGGTATGATCCTGGGGTCCCAGAATCAAGCCCTACATTGGGCTCCCTGCATGGAGCCTGCTTCTCCCTCTGCCTGTGCCTCTGCTTCTCTCTCTCCGTGTCTCTCATGAATAAATAAAATAAAATCTTAAAAAAAAAAGACAAACTAGACTTTTCTTACTTATTTGCGTACTTGGCAGGCAGTACAAATGTAAATTTTGGCGCATCCCATTTGGTCTATGTTTCTTATGAAAGAAAATGAAAAGATCTTACGTGTTAGGTGTCCTGGACATCTTATATACAATGTTGCTAAAACAGAGATGTGATGTACTTACCTGTGATTCTGAGGCATCCATAATGTGCATTTTGGTCAGGTTTCCATTTCCTCAAAATGTACAGAAGCATTTAATGAGATTTTTTTTTCTTGATCACTTTTACTTCATTATGTAAAATTTGCTTTGATTTGCAGCTCAGCAAGCCCACATCATGCTGACTCCTGGTGTCAATCTGTCCTGGTGTCAGTGTGATGCCATCAAACTCACTATCCTCTCAACAAAAGCACGGACCATGTAAGAATTAGGATTTTCAGTTTTCCCACTACATAAGGGCATCTTCAAAAACGCAGGCAGTTTAGAAAATTATTACTAGATGGGCAGCCCAGGTGGCCCATGGTTTAGCACCGCCTTCAGCCCAGGGCATGATCCTGGAGACCTGGGATCAAGTCCCACGTCAGGCTCCCTGCGTGGAGCCTGCTTCTCCCTCTGCCTGTGTCTCTGCCTCTCTCTCTCTCTCTCTGTGTCTCTCATGAATAAATAAAATCTTTAAAAAATATATTACTAGACAAGGAAATAGAGTGAAACTCTTAACTATCATCAGACAGAAAGAAGTATGTAGTTGCTTTTTATTCAAGAGAGGTAATTTGCTTTTTAAGTAGTATGATTGGGTTTACATTCTGCTTTTTAAAAGTCTTGCACTTATGTATCTTAAGAACATACATGCTTGCCTGGGCCGGGTTCCCTGGGCCTAGTGCTCTGCTGGGTATAGATGCCTTGGGGTTGTTCTGGTTCTTCATCTTTCTGGTCTGCAATTCCCTCTTTTCCTCACCAATACCTTATACTGCTGGACCACAGTCATGGGTGTTATCCCCATTGGCTTATCCTGGGAAGTACGAGATTTGCCTATCTGCCCACACCCTGCAGCAAAGGTAGTTCCAGGGACGGTGTCCAGACATCTGCCCTTGGGAGCCTCGGGAGGGCAGGTCCCTTCGTCACACAATCCTGTTCATGTCCTTGGCATTTTTGTTGCTTTGTAATACTTTCCAGAGTGACATTCTTTCCTTCTATCCAGCTGACCTGACACACCATGCATCCCATAATTTCTGGCCCTCAGAGAAGGAATGGATTTAAACTATTTGGGTCTGACCTTGTCTCACATGTCACCACCTCACTGGTAAATATTTACTGAGTTAAAAAAAAAAATACTATTGTGACACTCATCAGCTCCCTGGACTCTGAAACCTCTGTATCATCGGGGGCTTTAAAATAAGTTGACAACTTTCAAAACTTAATTCCAAGTATGTTAATTTTATAAAACACAATCAAAATTGAGGAATTCCACTAGGACCGTGGTTCTCAGCCTTGCCTTCATATTGAAACAGATCTCAAAATCAGTATATAAAGGTGCCTGGGTGGCTCAGTTGGTTAAATGTCTGCCTTCGTTCGGCTCAGGTCATGATCCCAGCATCCTGGGATCAAGCCCCACATTGGTTCCCTGATCAGCAGGGCTGTCTGCTTCTCCCTCTCCCTCTGCCTCAGCTCCCTTGCACACACGTGCTACTCTCTCTCGCAAGCGCACGCACACTCTCTCAAATAAAATCTTAAAAAAAAACCACACACACATGCTGCTCTCGCGCGCGAGTACACACACACTCTCAAATAAATCTTAAAAAATAAAACACACATATATGATTTTTTAAATATTTTATTTATTTATTCATGAGAGACACAGAGAGAGAGGCAAAGACATAGGCAGAGAGAGAAGCAGGCTCCATGCAGGGAGCCTGACGTTGGACTCGATCCCAGGTCTCCAGGATCACACCCTGGGCTGAAGGCGGCGCCAAACCACTGAGCCACCAGGGCTGCCTATGATTTTATTTTTAAATAAGCTCTGTACCCAATGTGGGCCTTGAACTCACATCCCTGAGATTAAGAGTCACATGCTTTATCCATTGAGCCAGCCAGTGCCCTGCCAACTTACTTTCTTTCAGGATTATGCATTTCCTTAAGAGAATCTAGCTTCTATTTGTACAGATTCTGCCCAAAAGTTTTTCACAAAATAAAACAGGTGCTTACCCACTGAAGGCAAGTACTGACTGTTTATTATCATACTTATTCTGATTATCTCTATACATCTTTATCAACAAAGTCAGTATATTCAATGGCAGGCACAAATTCTCAGTTCAACCACCAAAGGTGAAACAGAGACTTTTGACTCTGCTTTCTGGTTAACATACCCTACCTCCTCACCTCTGCGCTCGACTGGCATATTCTGCCTCTTCACAATCCTGAGAGTCATCAGCTCATTTGATCACTTCAACATCTGCACACGTCTCTCTACATTGCCACTTGTCTCCTCCCCACACAGTTCTCAGTACTCCCTCAGCCTTCATGCCCACCACCTCTAGTTGGCCTCCTTGGTTGAATATAGCCATCCTTTGTGAAGAGTCAAGCATTTTGAAAGCATTCATGTTATTGCAATACCTCCACCAATGGTACCTGTGACAGGATGCAGTCATGGGAGGCAGCAGTGACAGGCAGCAAAGGTAGCTGAGATGCCGTGGTGGCTGCTGTGGAGGTAGCCAGGACAGGCTGCGGAAATGGTGGCTATGGCCACGGGTCACATTGCAATGAAAAGCCACTGAGTGGCTACCACTGAAGCAGCTGCTCTTTGCTCCACCAAAGCCCACTCTTCCTGTGTATCTGGCAAACAGGAAGCAGCAGGGGATTTAAAATTCCAGCCCCCTAGGTGACCCTGAACAGAATGACTGATGGGGGTTAGTGTATAATTACCCCCACCCCTTGAGGGGGAAATTTATGTTCCCCACTGTTTCCCAGAGTTCCCCCAGAGGATTAAGATGTCACCCAGTGATAACTTGCTGGATAATGCAGCCTCGATGTGATGCTTTCCTTTCCTGTCTCACTTCCCTCTGCCCTACCAGTGCCTTTTGGGGTCATCTCCCAAAGTGTTGCCTCAAAATCTGTTTCTGGGGGAACATAACCTAAGATAGTGCATCATGAACCAAGGATTATGATTCAAGCACAGATGGCACATTAACAAAAGCCAACCCTATGCCAAGCCATAAAGTCTCAACATATTTCTAAAGATTGAAACCATATAAAATGTGTTCCCAATCCAATTGCAATTAGGCAAGATAACTAGAAAAATCCCCATATGTTCAGAAATTTAAAAATACAGTTTTAAACTTCCAAATAATCTGGGATCAATGGGAAATGTAAAATAGAAAGGCTTGTGGGAAATTTAAGTGCATCATTAGAAAAGAAAGGTGGCTAAAAATCAGTGAGCTAAACCTTCACTTCAAAAAGAGACAAAACAAAATTAAATCCAAAAAAGATAATTATAAAGAAGATAATTAAAAACAAATAAACAAAGTAAAGAATACCAGCAAGACCAAAAGTAAATTCTGTGAAAAGATTAGTAAGTTAATAAACCATCAAGATTAAATAAGAAAAAAAGGAAGAGGGTACAAATAAACAATGTCAGAAATGAGAAAGGGGCTTTCACTACACATTCTGTAGATCTTAAAAAGATTATATGAGGATATTATGAACAAATTTATGGTAATTTGAAACTCAGATCATGTGAAAATTCCTAGATAAATACAATTTACCAAAATAGACACAGAAATAGAAACTATTGAGCTTTTTTTTTTTTTTTTAAGATTTATTTATTTTGAGAGAGAGAATGCATGTGTGAGAGGCAGAGGCAGAGGAAGAATTCCAAGTGGACTCCGTGCTGAGCACAGACATGGCACCAGGCTCAATTCCACAACCATGAGATCACGACCTGAGCTGAAACAAAAGAGTTGACTGTACCAACTGCACTATCCAGAAGCCCCCAAACTATTAAATTTTTATGGTAGTTTAAATGTGGGCAAAATCCCTTTCAGCCAAATGCCATCGAGAGGTAGTCTCCCCACCCCTTTAATCTGGGTTGGCCCTGAGACTTGCATTGACCAATAGAATGTGATAAAAATGATGACTTTGAAGTTTCCATTTTTGCTTCCCCTGGGACCCCTGGTATACCACCAGATAAGGAAGCTGGTGTAGCCTACTGGAAGAGAGGTCACTTAAGAGATTCTAAAATGTAGTCTTAACCTGTTTTGTTTGTTATACTTTTTTTTTTTTTAATTGAGAAGGGCAGGGGAGGAGTTGGGGCAGAGGGAGAGAAAGAGAGAGAATCTCAAGCAGAATCCTCAGAGTATAGAGCCTGACATGGGGCCGATCTCATGATCCAAGTCAAAATCCAAAGTTGGGTTCTTAACTGAGCCACCCAGGGACCCCTTTATTACATTTCTTTAATTTTTTTTCATTTCTTTAATTATACAGAGCAGAATCCCACTCAAGCTTACCTAAGCAAAGTGGGATTGACTGAAAACATACAAAGAAACCTGAGGACTCAATCCACATCCCAAGGAAACCAAAGCTAGGAATAGAAAGCCACTAGGCCCCAAGCAGCCCTTTCAGGGACCCCAAGAACTATCACATCCCTTTTCGCTACCTGGGTTTTCTCTGGTTTGTGCCACATGGCTTCTGATGGCTCCTACAACTATGACTGCAGGACTTCCATCTTAGTTCCCAAGCCAACTGACAACTTTGTCTTAAAGAAGAAATCCCCAGGAGACTCTCTAGCTCATTTTTCCAAGGCAGAGCACAAGCCTTAGGTTTCAAATGGCTACTCCAGTCAGTGCTGGCCAGTCACTTCTAATTTCTAGAAGTCTGGAGTCCCCTCCAAGGGGAAGGGACTTGTCTGAATGGTGAATCTGGGTGCAGGCACTGGGCACACTGAGCTGGGCATTCCCAGATCTCTCACCCATATCTGTGTCTCTCTGCCCTTTGCCCCTCAGGACCTGCCCATGCTGGCGAGCCCGTGATCCATCAGCTGGGCCCACAGAGTGTATATGCCCAAGAAGAAACAATCAGAAGCTGCAGCAGCCACTGCTAGTCCCTGCCCAGATCCACTCAGCACTCTTCTGGGCACTGAACGTTACTTACTTGATTCTCCGCTACTCTCCACTCAGGGCTTCTTTGATGGCAGGGCACGTGACCACACACAAAGAAGACAGTAGTGCTAAATGGTCAATGCCCATGAAAACAGCCCCCATGACAGATGGGAAGCTGGTGATCTATACCCCACTGAGTATAGAGCCCACTGCCCACTGTGATAACTGGCTTGATAATGCACCTTTTATTGGTTGCCTTCTTCTGTCTCACTTCTCCATTCCTCTCCAATGTTTCTGGAATCACATTCCAAATATATTATCTGCACTCCATTCTCAGGGTTGGATTCTGGAAGAACACAACCGAGAGAGAACAGAAGTCCAGGACAGCAAACTGTAAGCCACACCCCTCAACGCAGCTGTTGTCAATAATAAAACCAATATTTTCATCCCCATTGCCTAGTGCCTATGTCTATCACACAACTGGCTCAAAACTCAGGAGGAAAAGAAGTGTGGTATTATTCCCCCCTTGCACCTCAAAGAAACACTCAATATTAAGACTTGGTAAATGGTCAAGTGGAAGGGAGAAAGAGCCTTTTCCCATGTATGTGCAGTAGCAGACAGGGAGCAGCTGTTGGCAGACTTAGCAAGGGAAGAGGGGTCGTCTTAACCCTGGGGAGCAGGCCCTTTCTTGGCACAAGGAGTGAAGGTGGGGAACAGAGGAGCAAGGTTTCCGCCCAGCCGGCTCTCCAGGGCCCCCTCAGTACTGAAGGCAGAAGTCAAAGCCTTATATACAGAGTGTTTATTTATTTTGAGTCCTGCCATCCAGAGAAGCCAGACTCACATCCAGGGCTCTCATGACTCCATCTGCCTGCTCTTCAGGGCTGGTGGCATCAAGTGATCAGTCACTCAGGTCCAGTTTTCCTGTGGTTCAAAGGGTCCTCAGGAGGTAGGAAGTGGCTTTGTCTATGGAAAGAACACATTGACATCTACTAGCATCTATTTCGTGCCCGGCCCTGGGGCCACTGCTGGGGAGATTATGTAGACACAGCAGAGACTGCCGTTGCCAAGTCCAGAGTCTGGATGGAAGAGGGTATCAGGGGATGACCTTGGCCATCTGCCACGTGAACATGTCTGACACAGTGAACTATCACCAGGAGCAAGGAAGGCACCATTTGCTGTCTTTACGGAGCACCTTCTGTGTGCCTGGCATTGTTACAGGGCAATGGATAAAGGGTACAAGTCACTAACTTTAGGAAGAAAGAAAACAAATAAACAGGTAAAAAGATGTCAACTGGATCAATTCTACAAAGAAAAGTAAATCAGGGTAAAGAGCACAGATGAGTGTGGAATGGGAGGTATAGATAGCACTTCAAATTGTTAGTTATGTGAACGTAAAATGTCTTTATATCACGTCTCATGAGAGGAGACCGGTTGTGTGTTTGCCACTTTGTAGAGAAGAGATTGGAAGAGCCTCGAGTCTCACTGCCTGCAATCAGGGGGAAAGCTGCAGCTGGGCTGCCATCATCTCAGAGGAGGAGGACAGTGAGGAGGGCCAGGTATGGTGGTGGTAACTACCCTCAGTGCACTGAGGAGCTGCGAGCAGGCTGTAAAGGGGAGAGATGTGACCTGAACTCTATTTCCACAAGGTCCCCTGGCTGCCAGGGGAGAGAAGATTTCGGGGGCAGGATGGCCACAGGAAGACCAGGGAGAGGCTGGCTGCTAAACCAGGGAGGGGACAAGTCCTGAGATGGGAAAGGAAGGTCTTTACTGTTCAGATGCCCAAAAAACTTGAAAGGAAAGACACATGACTAACATATAACCAATATATAGATAAAAAAACTAATGTGAACAGTATGCAATCATTACTAAATAATTTCTAAGAATTAAAAGTCCTTTCTGCTAGTGTCCACTCTTAGGGCCTGAAACTTTCACTTATTACTGCCTAATTCAAACAAAATGAGAACTACTGGGCCTAGTAGAAGGGGATCTGCCCCATCTTTAGCCAAGAACTCTGAAACAGGCAATGGGAATGAAGGCGTTAGAAGGCAGTAAGATATCAGCCATGATGGAGGGAGCCCAGAGACCACGGTGGGGATGAGGATGGGCCAGCATGGGAGGTGTTTGGAGGGAAGCGATATAAGCCAGAATAGCAAGCAGCCAGGTAGCTTAGAAAGGGTGGTCCAAGAAGAAGGAAACAGTTGGATAAAAGCCTGTCAACAGGAGACATTCACCTGAATAAACGCACATTCACTGGGGCTGGAACACAGAGTTTGAGGCAGAAAGTGGGGAGCAGTGGGGCCAGAGTCCACACCACACAGGGTTCTATACACTGTGCTAGATTTTAGATTTGGCCTCATGGAAATGAAGAGCTATGGAAAGGTGTTTTGTTTTTTTAAATTTATTTACTCATGAAATATACAGAGAGAGAGGCAGAGAACATAGGCAGAGGTAGATGCAGGACTTGATCCCAGGACCCGGGGATCACGAATTGAGCCAAAGGCAGACACTCAACCACTGAGCCACTCACGTGCCCTGATAGAAAGATTTTTAAGTGAAACAGAACATGGGGCCTGGGTGGCTCAGTCGGTTAAGCGTCCTAACTCTTGATTTTGGCTCAGGGCATGATTTCAGGGTTGTGAGCTTAGGACTTGTGTTAGTGTGGAGCCTGATCAGGATTCTCTCTCTCCTTTTCTCTCTGCTCCTCTCCCTACTCACATTTTCTTTTTCTCTCAATAAAATAAAGTAAGTGAAGCAGAACATGGTCAGATTTCCTCTTGGGCTCACTCTGGAACTCACAGACAATGGACAGAAAGCCATAATACAAAGCATAGAAGCTCAAATGAGAGAGTATTAAGAGAGGTGGTGCAAGACGGTGACTTTTGCCTTAGGAGTGCACAGTCCAGTGGGGAGGAGGCGGCAAGCATCTAAAGTAGCATTTCTCAACTTTGTTTTAAATTAATGCTCCCCAGGGGGTCTTTTAAGACATTTTCTAAAAACTGCAGCCATCCATGAAATTTTAGTATCATAGTTATACTGCATGCCTATTTATGTACTGTATAGATCAAAGAGGATAAGACTGCTTTGCCCCCTCTGTACCGCCTCACCCAGTAAAGCTGAGGGGCAATGAGAAAGGGAAAAAGAGCAGATAAGGAAGGAGGTGGGTGAGATCAGCCCGGGGAAGAACACAGAGAACCCAGCAAGGACCTGGGATTTTGTTCTCAATGTGAATTGGGAAACTACTGAAGAGTTCTAAGGAAGCAGCATATAATGTGACTAGTTTCCAGTTCCTAAATGGTCTCTCTGGCCACGGCGTGGAGTCAAGTAACAGGGGATTTTGAGAGTCACAGAAAAGGCTGGGGGCAGGAATCCTGTATGTGAACGAGTTGGGGAGGTGTCTTGACTAAAGCAAGGGCTATGGGAAGGGGCAAGAGGTGATCATGTTCTGGATCCTGGATGCTCAGTGCAGGTCTGTGCGGGGGCGGGGGGGGGGGATAGGGTGGGGCTGAGGATAACTCCCAGGTCTTTATTCTGAGCAACTAGAAGGATGAAGGGGGTGAGAATAGATGAGCCCTCCTCCCTCCTGTCTCACCTCCATAGCTGAGGGTGAGCGTGGTGGTTGCACCTGCTCAGCACACTGCAGGAAGCGGCGCACATGCTCTGCACAGTTGCCCACAGCTGCCTCATTCTGTCGAAGACACTCTTCAAAGGCCTCAAAAGGCTCAGCACAAGCCTGGCGGATCTGACGGATGATTGGGCTGTGGAGGTAGGGCATTTCAGGCATTCAGACTTCCACTCCACCCTGCCACCCCCACACCCCCACACCATCCCATTCTTGCCCCCACTCACTGGGAGGACGTGCACTGAGCAATACTCATCTTAAGGTGGTGACAGTCTCGCTGCCATGACTCAGGCTTGGCCACCACACACTGGCCATATTGCTCCAGCTCTCGGCCACAGTAGCGAGCAGTGATCTCCAGGGCCGCCTGCCTGTGGGACATGGTGGGCTGAGGATGATTCCAAGCAACAGACAAGAAAGGGAGTTCTGATCTGGGTAGGAGGGTGGAATGGGGAACAACACTAGAGATCTTGGGCAGATCTGGGAGTCTGAAAGATCCTGGGATAGGGCCAGGGAGATGGAGGGGAAAGTAAGGCATGAGCCCTGGGGATTGTGTAACAGGCTGGGGGCTTCTCGGAAGATGGTGAGGCTCTCTTCCCAAAAAGGTCTAAGTATTCAAAGACAAGCCTTGGAGCCCTGGAAGAAGGGTCTTGGTGTCCAGGCATCCCTCAACAGGGCCTAAGAAGTAATATTTTGAGTCCTGGGAGAAAACCTGGGAGCCCTCAAGGGGTTTGGAGTCCTAAAAACAGGTTTAGAAATCCAAGTGATGGGCAGCCCAGGGGGCTCAGGGGTTTGGCGCTGCCTTCCGCCCAGGGCCTGATCCTGGAGACCTGGGATCGAGTCCCACATCGGGCTCCCTGCATGGAGCCTGCTTCCCCCTCTGCCTGTGTCTCTGCCTCTCTCTCTCTGTGTCTCTCATGGATGGATGAATGAATTAATGAATGAAAGAATAAATAAATAAAATCTTAAAAAAAAAAAAAAAGAAAGAAATCCAAGTGATAAGAGCTTGGGTCCTGGGGAAGGGTCTCTTGACCGGAGGCTTAAGGATTAGGCCTGAGAACAGGAGTACTGGAAGTGAGGCTTGAAGCCCTGGCGTGGGCTTGGGGGTCCTGGGGTGGGTCTCAGAATTCTAGGGACCTGATGTGGAAGCCGTGGGTGAGGTTGGGGCTCTGAGACAGCTTTGGAGGATCCTACAAATAAGCTCTTGGGAACAAGATCTGGAGATCTAGACCGGGACCAGTGGTCTAGGAACCAGTCTGTGGGCGCCACCGGTGCGGTCTGGGATACTGCCCAGATCCAAAGGTTCAAAAGGTATGGTTAGGGGACCTAGGGGGATGAACCCGGAGCTGAAAGAACGAGTCTGAATACAGAGGTCCTGCGACAATTCCGGAGTCCCAAGGTCGCAAGCGGACGGGCAGTGCCTGGGGTCCTGGGGACGGGGACCCGGCGGATGTTAAGCGTGGACCTGAAGAGGCGGGGTCTAAGGATTCAGGGGGCGGGGCCTAGACACGCGGGGGGCCGAGACTTGTCATGGACTGCGCTGAATCCTAAGGGTCGGATCTCCGAGGAACAAAGAAGCCAATCCTTCCTCCCGGAGTGCTGGCCTAGGTCCGGGTCACTGGGGAAGAGAGGGAGAGCGGCGGCAGATCCGGGGTAGGCGCTCCCGCTACTCACATCTCGAGGCCGATGCCCGTAGGAACTCAGTCAGGGGGGGAGCGCCCCGCCTTTTCCGGTACAGAGTGTCATGGCGGCGCCCAGCTCGGCCGTCCTCATCCCGTTTTCTTTTCCGGTCGCAGAACCGGCAAGCAGCCCATTCCCTTTAGGCCCCACCTGTCATGGCGGCGCCCTGTCTCTCCTTCCGGCCCCGCCTCTATTGGCGGCGCCTGCGCAGTCACCGCGGCCCCCCTCCCCGCCCGCCCGCAGTCCGCTAGTCGCCGCAGCCCTTCCTACTTCCGGCTTGCGGCGGCCGCGCGGGAATGCGCCGGAAATGCGGGACGCCTTCTGCTGCGTGCGCTCCTAGCCACCCCTCCCGCCGGAGCCGGTAGCGAGCGGCCGCCGTGGCCTCTCAACTGCGCGTCGCTGCTCAGAGCCGGGAGCCGCGGGGCCGCCTTCCGTCTCGCTCAAGCGCTCCCCGTCCTCCCGGGATGCGGGTACTTGCGCGCACTCGGAGCTGCGGAAAGGGGGTCGCCGCCAGAGTAGAACCCACCCCCCCCCACCCCCCCGGGCTGAACCTCCTCCCCCTCCCCCATCGCCTCACCCCGGGTTCCCCAGGCCAGGCCCCGCCCCCCTTCGTGGCATAAGCCCTGGGGCCGCGCCAGACTTGAGTGATTATGGGCACGTGTGATTCTTTCTAATTCCTCCTGGCGAGATGCTGTTTCCACCTCTTGATCTGTTCTCCAGTGTGAGACCTGAGGGTACGTTTCCCACCGGCTAGGCTGGGCACGAGTACCCCCATCCATGGTCAGAGAGCAGGCATCGGCCCAACCGTCGAGTATGTGGAGACTCCAACCGAAGTGAGCCAAAAATGCACGTCATCATAGTTTTGAGGAACAAGAGGTATTTGTGAGCAAGTGACAGCTGCTGGGAGAATCGGTGTGCTCATCTGTAAATGGGGATGATGATAGGGACATCCTTTCCATTGAGCATAGTGCATGTGAACAGTCCAGGGCAGAGCCTGGACCCTCAGGAGTTCTGGGTAAGTGAGAGCTGTCAGGGGAGGCTGTTACTGTGAGCTGCCCTGGTTGGCCCTGGACATAGGATTGCCCCACTGGCCATCTGCACCTGCCTTAGATGACAGGATTAGGTCACCAGAGGAAGGCTTTTCATCCAAAGCCTTCCTATTCATCCTTCCTGCAAAAACTTCCCAAGTGTATTTTTGTTGGGGAGAAAGGGGGTGGGGAACACCATCAATGACAGAGAACACTTAGGGACAAATGTGGACTGAATCCTTATATTTTTCTCTCCTGAGGAAGTGGAATCTTAACCTGTCCCTTGCCACTTCCTGAATTTTATCTCAAAGTCCCTACAATGGGCTTCCTCAAGGGAAGGGGTTCAAACATCTGGGCTCAAAAGTAGGTACAATGAAGACCTCAAGAGGAGACACCCCTCCTCTGGGGAGTGTGACATCTGTGCCTCCAAGCTTCTGGATGGGTTTTGGCCTATAGCTCAAGAGCGTGACTAACTTCCTCTCTAGGGATCAAGTGTAAGGCCAACCTATGGTGTGAAGCCGGCCTGGGTTTGAATCAAAGATCTTGAGCAGAATCTGCTCTCTGGGTTTCGATTTCCTCTAATAGCTGCTCATGATACCCTTATGAGCAGAGACTGAAATGACACCTGCAGAGCATGTGGTGTGGAGCACTTTGTACTTTCCCTTTCTAGCCTTATCAGAATTTATTACTATGTTTGTGTATTTTCTGCCTACTTCAAGACCCACAAAGAAAGGGGTCTTACATCGGTCTCCTGGTCACCACTGGATCCTCCCCCCATAGCATGGGGTCTAGGAGAGTAATAAAGGAATGAATGAAACCATAGGTTCAGGATTGCACGAGGGTAAAATGAGATCCAGTCATTGTTTTGTGTGGTACTTACTACATGCTATATATGTGCCAGGAACTATTTTAGCTGCTGGGGAAACAGCAGCAAGTAACAGAAAAATATTATACTGCTAAAAATGGTATACAATGTGATATTTTGATATACATAGGCATTGTGAGATGATTACCACAGTCAAGCTGATTGACATAGTTAGCATTTTTTAAGTGTGATGTGATGAGAACATTTGAGACCTAATCTCTTAGCAATTTCCAAATATATATTAACTAATGTTATACATTAGGTCTCAACTTCCTCATCTTTATAACTGAGTTTATACCCTTTGACCAACATCTCATTTCTCCCACACCCCAGGACTGCCAACCACCATTCTTTTTCCATGAGTTCAACTTCGATCCCACATATAAGTGAGGTCATGTGATATTTGTCTTTTTGGGTATTTCACTGAGCATATAGTTCTCCAGGTAGGGCATGTGAGATTTGATGAGGGGCAGGGTGTGATGGGTGGAAACAGGGTGCGGGGGAGAGGGTAGGAGGGTACACTTGTAGAATGTGACCCACCCAGAGGGAGTTATTATCTGGTGCTTTGACCCCTGGCCAGACAGAGCAGCCACAAATGGCAGTACAGAAACAACTTTGGCCAGATGACCTGTGAGCTGGCAGCAAAGTGAGTCCTGACCCTTGACCCCTGAAGGGGCCATGTGGCAGGAAGGGATAGTGCTTGGGTGTGTCGGTGATTTCTTGATGGTGTTACAGGAAGAGCACTGGAGACCAGGAGGGGGTCTCCTGGACTCCTGAGGGCTCCTCTCCCCTCAGGTATCTTCACTGCCACCTTCATTTCCTGTTTTGTTTTTTTTTTTTTCTATCTTGTCTTTTCTAGAAGCTCTCCCTCTTGATCTTAAGTTTATATGATGGGTGGGAGGCAAGTCCTGACAAGCTCAATACATGTAAAGTCTCCAAGCTGAGGACAGCAGTGAGCAGTCATGCTCCTCCAGCCACATTACTTTTCTCACCAGCCAGTTGGCTAGTGACCTAGAGCTTCAGGACCACCCCTCCTCTGGAAATAGTGGCACAGAAAATTGTTAGAGGAAACCACGTACTCCGACACGGAGGGGAGGGTGTCTCCCAGCCCTTGACTTCTTTATTCTCCATATTACACTCCTTACTAAAAACAAAAACAAACAAACACACACACACACACACACACACACACACACACAAACCTTTCACTTTCTTACTAGTGTCTCCTGGCTCCCTTGCCTCTCAGATTTACTCCCACAGAGCACAAAGCCTTTGAATTCCTGGGAACTGCAATGGATCCCATCCCTGCCTCCTGCTTCTGGATTCTAGCCACTTGTCAGTGTAGGCAGGGGCCAGTGAGGCTTGGGAAAGGGTCTACTTGTTGGGTCCTGCCATGCTGTGCACACAGGACTGTATTAAGGGTGCTGGACGAGGGAGGGCTTGGGAGGAGGGGAAAGCCACAGCTCTGTCCCAGAGAAACTGACACGCACCAGTTTAACAACCTTCCTAAGTGATGATGGGTGCGAGGCACAACAGAGGGTGTGGTGCCCCCATGGTGAGGTCAGCTCTGCTCTCTTCTGCCTCCTGGGAACTGGTCTTAGGCAAGACCTTGACTGCTCACTCGGGGCAATTCCTTTCCTCTACTGGGCTGCTGCCAGGTGCTGGGGTTCCAGTGGGCCTGGCCACCTCAGCACTGCCTGCCCCTTCCTTATCCACTGCAGTTTCTTGGGGTTTGAGGCACAGGAGATGCAGATTCAGAAGCTGCAGCTGATGAGTGGGTCCTGGTGCCGATCTCTGAGGTCCTCGGGAGCTGTGGGCCACAGGCTGAAAAGAAGGTGTGCAGAAACCGTTTCCACCTAGAGGACATTGCCCTCACTCCTTGGCTTTGTCTTCAAGAAGCAGTAATTGATGTTTGAAGTAGCACATTGCACCACTTGAGAAGGAAAAGTGTGGGAAGGGTTAAGTGGTTGGTTTCCCATACAGCCAACCTGAGCCTCCTCTCCAATCTCAGTATTCCATTCCATCCACATGGAGGCATTGCACATTTGGAACCCATGCTAGTCTGTGAGCTGAGCCACTGGCTTTCTGAGGTTGCTGTAACAAACTGCCACAGACTGGGTAGCTCAAAACAACAGACCTGCATTTTCACAGTTAAGGAAGCCAGAAGTCCAAAATTAAGGTGCTGGCAGTAGATTCCTTCTGGAGGCTAGGAAAGGGAATCTGCTTCAGGCCTGTTGCCCAGCTCCTGGTGGTTACAGACAGTCCTTGGCATTCCTCAGCTGGTAGACACATTACTTCCATCTCTTTACTCACTTCACCTTCTCTGTGTGCTCTCCTCTTATAGGGACACCAAGGCCAAAACCCCAGGGGGTGCTTTCACCTACATCCCTTTGCCACAAGCTGCACTGTTTCGTTACCAGTAATGCTTGCAGTTCAAAAGGCTCACCAGGACTAACTGGTCAGAGGGGGAGGGCAGCGCGGACAGCTTGTGGGACAGTAGTCTTAAGCACTCCTGCCCGCACCGCTCTTCCATCATCTGTGGTAGGCTCGTCCCCACATCCTGTACTGCCTCCCCACACCACAGGGCCTGGCTGGGGCACCTGCTGTGTCCCACAGATACTCATTCCACTGGCGCTGTCCTTGTAACATCTGCCCAGTGGGGTCTCTTACCATCAAGAGATTTAAATAGGGCAGCCTGGGTGGTTCAGCGGTTTAGTGGTTTAGTGGTTCTGCCTGGGGCGTGATCCTGGAGACCTGGGATCGAGTCCCACATCCGGCTCCCTGCATGGAGCCTGCTTCTCCCTCTGCCTGTATCTCTGCCTTTCTCTGTCTCTCATGAATAATAAATATTTTTTTTTAAAAAAAGATTTAAGTAAATCTTTTTCAAGCTCTACACATACTCGAAACATCTATTTGTATAATACATCTTGCAGTTCCTGTTACAACCACTTGGGTGTATAAAATGTCCATTAAATAAAACAGGTTAGTTTCAAGGACCACAGTGGGGCAATTCATTTTTGTTCTATCAACATTTTTTAAAAGATTTTATTTATTTGACAGAGTGAGAACAAGCGTGCACAACCATGGGGAGCAGGAGAGGGAGAAGCAGAATCCTCACTGAGCAGGGAGCATGACACAGGGCTCTGTCGCAGGAACCTAGGATCATGACCTGAACTGAAGGCAGAAGCTCAACTGAGCCACCCAGGTGCCCTGTTAACAATTTTTTTAAAGATTTTATTTATTTATTCATGACAGACACAAGCAGAGAAAGAAGCAGGCTCCATGCAGGGATGGAGCATGGATGTGGGACTCGATCCCGGGACTCCAGGATCATGCTCTGGGCCAAAGGCAGGCGCTCAACCACTGAGCCACCCAGGCCAGGCGTCCCAAGACATTTGTTTTGTAACAACATTCCATTTGTATAAATATGTATCATGTCTATACCTGTCTGTATCCCTTCACTGCATACACTGATTTGTGTTATACCAACACAACACTCAAAGAGATAGATACATAAGGTATCACCCAATCTTATGGCAAAAAAAAAAAAAAAAAAGAATCTTGATCTGAACTTCACATCTTATATGAAAACTAACTCAAGGGGTTCCTGGGTGGTTCAGTCAGTTGGGCATCCAACTCTTGCTTTTGGTTCAGGTCATGATCTCAGGGTCCTGAGATTGAGCCCTGCCCTGCTCACTCACCAGAGAATCTGCTTGTGATTCTGTCTGCCTCCCGTTCTGCCCCACCACTCATGCTCTCTAATAAATGCATAAATCTTAAAAAAAAAAAACTCAAAAGGGATAAATAGATCATAGATTGAAATGTACAGCATAAGACTATAAAACTTTTAGGAGGTAATAGAAAACTTTTGGGCTTGAAGAGTTTTTTTTTTTTCCTTAAGATTTTATTTGAGAGAGAGACCAAGAGCCCAAGTGGGTAGGGAGGGGAGGAGATACCTCACTAAGCAGGAAAGCCCCATGTAGTTTGATCCCAGGATCCCAGGATCATGACCTGAGCCAAAGGCAGATGCTTAACCTACTGAACCACCCAGGAACTCCTGGGCTTGAAGAATTCTTAAGACATGACACCAAAAACATGATCTACCAAGAACCAAAACCAAATGATAAAGCATAAACTGTATTATGGAGTGCCAAGTGGGACTAAGGAGTAAATTACTGACACATGCAAGACCCTGAGTGGATCTCAGGGGAATTGCACTGAGTAGAAAAGGACAATTTCAAAAGATCACATACTGTATGATTCCATTTATATAGTATTCTTGAAACAACAAAAATTATAAAGATGGAGAACAGATTAGTGGTTCCCAGGGGTTAAAGATGGTGGATAGGGTTGGGGAAGCTATAAAGGGAAAACATGGCAGAGCCCTGTGGTGTGGAGTAGCTGTGCATCTTGATTATGTTGGTTACATCAATCTGCACATGTGATACAACTGAGCAGAACTATACACACATATACAAATGAGTGCATGTAAAAATGGTGAAATAGGACTAAACTCTGAATTGTCCCAATATCAAGTTTGCGAATCTGTAAATTTTAAAAAGCAAATGATTTCACTCATATGGGGAATATAAGAAATAAAACAGATGAACATGGGGGGGTGGGAGGAAGAGAGGCAAACCATAAAACAGACTTTTAACTATAGAAAAAAACTAAAGGTTGCTAGAGAGGAGGCAGGCAGGCAGGATCATTAAATGGATGATGGCTATTAAGGAGGGCACTTGTGATGAGCACTAGGTGTTATATGTAAGTGATGAATCTCTAAATTCTACTTGTGAAACTAATACTATACTGTATGTTAACTGGAATTTAAGTTAAAACTTGAAACAAAGTTAAATTTTATTACCATTTTTAGTGATCCTAAAAAAATTGGGAGACTTGGAACAACATACCTCCACTATGGGATTGTGATATAGGCAGAGACTGGAATGGGGTAAGTTCACCTGGGATTCTACTAACAGCAGGTGGAAGTATCAACCAAGAGACTCAAAGTATTTTTCCTTTTTTTTCCCCCCACGTTTCATGAAGCAAAGCCAGGATATACTTTTTCCCAGTCTACCCCTATCTGCCTTATATTTAGTAATAGACACCTAAACCCAGACTCAAGAATTATCTTTGTAAAGTTTAATATCAAAAGGCACGTATTCACGAGTGAAGACAATAAGTTTATCTACTGCCAACACTGTTTATAATAGCCAAAGAATGGAACTGCCCAAATATGCATCAGTAGGGAACAGTACAACCATACAATGAAATATTGTACATGAGTAAAATAGCCACTGGATTTTAGAGATTAGTATGAAAAAAAGAATATAAAACATCTCCATAAATTGTTAGTATTTATTACATGTGAAAATGGCATTTTGGCTATATTACATTAAATAAAATATAGTATATGAATATTGTCTCTAAGATACGGAACAAGAAATGAACAAATAGGGATACCTGGATGGCTCACTTGGTTGAGCGTCTGCCATTGGTTCCGGTCATGATCCCAGGGTCTTGGGATAGAGCCACCCTGCTCAACTTTTTTTTTTTTTTTTTAAGAATTTTATCTTATTTTAGTTAAAAAAATAATTGTACCACCAAATGAAGAAGTAGCTTTCTTTAGGGGAAGGTGAGAAGGGAGGAGGAAAAAAAAAGCAATAAGCCAAAGAAAAAGAATTTTTTATATTCATCTGTATGAACATATCTGCCAAGGCAAACAATCCTGGGCCAAGGCTGCTGCACTGGGGTCAGTACCTCCTAATTTCTGCAGGTTCTAAGGCCAAAAAATAAAACCTCTGCAAATCTGAGTTTTGTGGACTCTGGGGGCATTTTACTAAAATAAAGAGTTATCAAGTTTAAAAAGCAGTGGCAGGGATCCCTGGGTGGTGCAGCGGTTTGGCGCCTGCCTTTGGCCCGGGGCGCGATCCTGGAGACCCAGGATCGAATCCCACGTCGGGCTCCCGGTGCATGGAGCCTGCTTCTCCCTCTGCCTGTGTCTCTGCCTCTCTCTCTCTCTGTTACTATCATAAATAAAAAAAAAAAAAAATTAAAAAAAAAAAAGCAGTGACATTGTCATGACACACATGGGAAGTTGCCTAACTGCAGCCTCGACGGCCATTCACTGGGAGCCTGTTTCTCCCCAAACCCCTCCTGCTGGTGCTTTCTCTTGCTATCTCTCTCTCATAAAATCTTTTTAAAAAGAGGGAGAGATGAATAAAGAAGATCTACACACACACACACACACACACAAAATGGACTATTATTCAGCCTTAAGAAAGAGTGAAATTCTACCATATGCAACAACATGGGAAGGACACTGTGCTAAGTGAATAAGCCAGTCACAGAAGCACAAATACTGCATGATCTCATTTATATGGGATATCTAAAATAGTCAAACACCTAGACTAGTATGATGACTAGCAGGAGCTGGTGGAGAGGAATGGGAGTTGCTGCTGGAAAAGTTCTAAGTTACAAGGTGAGTAAATGCTGCCTGTAGCTAACCATGCTCTATCGTACATCCAAACATTTGTTATGAAGCTAGATTGTCATATTCAGTGTTCTTACCAAACACACACTCATAAAGGGCACAAGGAATCTTTTGGAGGTGATGTTTATTACCTTGATTGTGGTGATCACTTTTGACAAGTGTATGCGTATGTTCAAACCCATCAAATTGTATGTTAACTATATGCAGTTTTATGTAATAATTACACTTCGATAGAGCTACCTTCTGTTTTTACTTTAATGTGGATATAAGCAAATATAAAATTACATAAACGGCCTGCATTGTATTTGTATTGGATTGCTCTGTTCTAGACAGGGAAATGTTCGACACTCACTGCCCACTGAAAGTGGGATTCAAAGACCCTGGGGTTGGAAAGACTTCCCTATATATCCTTCTACTTACCAGTAGAATCATTTAAGATATTCATGGAATTTTTGAACAAGTGTACTGAAAATCAACTTTAGTAGTTACTCTACTGGTCAGACTCAGAAATCTTGAATTCTTAGTTGCCAAGTCTTGGTGGAAAACTAACATGCTTGAAAATAACTCCAGAGTAACCAAGTAATATCTTCACTGAGCTAAAGTCACATTTTGTTTTAATCTGATAGTTCTCCTAACCCAAAAAGCCACATCAAGTTAAACGACATCCAATTTCACTTTGATGTTCATAGCTGCTAGTTCAGCTACAAAATACCTGAAAACATAAGGCACAGAAACAGTGTCGATAGTATCACTGCGGTCACACAAAGTACAGTTGTATTTTCTGTTGCGCATGGCAGACCAAGAAGGAGGTGGCTTCTCCAACAGTGGAGAGAGTAAACTACCACACTTGACACAGACATGGGCTACCGATCGATCTGAGCAGTTGAAGAGGCGGTCGTGAAGGAGAAATGATGTACCATGAGCTAAGAGAGCATCCCGCTCCATTTCCCCAAAACGGATTCCACCCTGTACGTTTCTTCCCCCAATGGGCTGGTTAGTGACTTTGTCTCTGGCTCCTGTGGTTCTAACCTGGAATTTGTCTGAGACCATGTGGCGTAAACGTTGATAATAAACCACACCTATGAAAATGTCTGCTTCCAGTTCTATCCCACTGATGCCACTATACAACCTCTCAGTGCCATAGAAGTTGTAGCCAGCAGCTTTTAACAGCTCACCAAAGTATTCTAAGGCCGAGTTCTCTTCTGAAAAGGTGAAGGGTGTAGCATCATGGCAGAGACCGTGCAAAGCAGCAGACTTCCCTGCCATACTTTCAATTAACATACCAATAGTCATGCGGGAGGGAAAACCATGAGGATTGAACAGAATGTCTGGGACCATCCCACTCTCAGTAAATGGCATGTCCTCAACTGGCCACAACCTGCTCAAGATGCCCTTTTGCCCATGACGGCTAGCAAATTTATCTCCAATGGTTGGGTTCCGAGGGACTCTCATCGTGATGCAAACACATTTGAATTTCCCATTGCCAGTGTCATTACTACACACTTTGATGTTATCCACAATGCAATTTTCTTTACTCCTGGGGAAAAAAGGAGACAGAAGGTCAAACTATTATTTTTAAACTTACAAAGACACCTCAGTTTTACTGACATAAAGGATATTTGCAAAATTTATTTTTTCATCTATTCTCCAGTACAAATAGATTTGATATCCCTGAAAGTATTTATGAACAGGGCTACTGATTCGATTTGCTACAGAACTCTGCTCATCTGAAAGAATAGTCACAGAGACTACCAAAACACCATAACAAAGACCTATTGCTAAAACCATTTAACAGATGTAAAATAAGCTAGACAATTTTTTTTTTTACATTTTCAATTTTAATGAGAGGCACAATGAACTTGACATTTTTAGCTAGGAACCCAAAAAAAACCAAAAAAACATTCATGAGAGAGATAGCAAGTTTGAATAACCCAGTTTTCAAAGAAGTCACAGATAACTTATCAAATTGTGTAACAGACTGACAAGAGAAATAGAAAAAGACAGACACAGAACTGTGTCTCATTTAAGAAATACCAATTCAGTTATGACTGAGTAACCGAGCTACCACTTACATTTTTTCCACAACTCTCCTGTTACAAGATAACTTTCACTGACCTTGGCAATTTCACTGAGAAAACCACCTTTAAAAAACAGTACTGGGGCAGGGGGTGGGTACATCTGGGTGGCTCAGAGGTTGAGTGCCTTTGGCTCTGGTCAAGTTCTGCATCGGGCTCCCTGCAGGGAGCCTGCTTTTTCCTCTGCCTATGTCTCTGTGTCTCTCATAAATAAATAAATAAAATCTTAAAAAAAAAAAACAAAAAACCAGCACTGGATACCCAAACTTACTTATAGTACGTCACAAAGCTTTCCCCGGTGTTGAGGTTCAGGTAACTATAATATGGATCTCCATATTGCAGCCGTGCTCCAATAAATGGCAATCCATCATCATCTAACTTCTGCAAACTCCGTGGGTCCCCAGGCTTGACACCAAACACCAGATTATCATCTCCTTGTTTAATTTTTTCAGAGAGATCTATGAACTCGGACTTGTAGACACTTCCATGGGCAAAGCCTCGTTCCCAGGAGGCTTTATTCACAATCTACAAAGTCAAAGAATCGTTAAGAGACTGAGGCCAAATGGGGATTTTCACAATAAAGATGGCTAGAATTAAAATACTTGGTTTAGGATAACTGGCATTCTAATTTAAAAACTCCAGGGAGGGATCCCTGCGTGGCGCAGCGGTTTAGTTCCTGCCTTTGGCCCAGGGCGCGATCCTGGAGACCCGGGATCGAATCCCACGTCGGGCTCCCGGTGCATGGAGCCTGCTTCTCCCTCTGCGTGTGTCTCTGCCTCTCTCTCTCTCTCTCACTGTGTGACTATCATAAAAAAAAAAAAAAATAAAAATAAAAACTCCAGGGATCCCTGGGTGGCTCAGCAGTTTAGCGCCTGCCTTCAGCCCAGGCCATGGTCCTGGGATCGAGTCCCGCATTGGGCTCCCTGAGTGGAGCCTGCTTCTCCCTCTGCCTATGTATCTGCCTCTCTCTCTCTCATGAATAAATAAAATCTTTAAAAAAAATATAAAGACTCTAAATTTCAGGGGCACCTGGGTAGTTCAGTTGGTTAAGGATCTGCCTTCAGCTCAGGTCCTGATCCCAGGACCCTGGGATCGTGCCCTTCATTGGGCTCCTTGCCCAGCAGGAAGCCTGCCTCTCCCTCTCCTTTTGCCTCTCTCCCTTGCTTGTGTGCACACACTTTCTCAAATAAATAAAAAAAATTTTTTTTGATGACAGAAGGATGTTTAAGTTTGATTTCTTGATATTGTCATATGTGTAAAAATATATAATTTAAAGTCAGGGAAATAATCAGCTTGGTGTTGCCTCTTTCCACCCCTTCGGTACAGCTTTTCCAACTGGCCTCCATTTCAGCCATTCCCTTCAAAATCCTGGCATGTGGAAGACAGGGTCACTTCTTGGTAGCTTTTGCCTGGGCTGCCAAATCTGCCTCTTTCTGGGCAGCCAAGAATGTGGCTTGCTCCTTCTGGTAAGCTGCCAGCTCTTCTGAATGGAGGTCCTTCACCACACGAATGCCCAGGGAATGGGCAGAGCCAATGATGGAGTGAACCACAGAGGACAGAGTGAACCACATCCTGCAGGGCGAAGGACTCATCCTGAGCTTTAATTTGGTCGATTTCATACACATGCTTCAAGGTCACCAGGCTGGCCACCTCCTTCCCTGTCTGCCAGGCCCCCTTCTCAATACCAGCAGCTGCTTTCAGGAAGTAGGCAACAGTGGGCTGTCCAATTTGATTTCAGATGTCCTATCAGGCTTCACAAAAATCTTGTGGGCAAAGGAATGCCTTCTTTGATGTCTTTTGTCTTCTTGTTGAACTCCTTGCATAGAACTGGTTGATGGAAACGCCTCTCTGACCCAGGATGGGACCTAGTGGAGGCCCAGATGTGGCCTGGCCTGCCCGCATGATGGTCCGGATCATGCCTCTGGCCTCGGGCTTCCTGAGGGCCTGAGTCGCTCGGTTCAGCATCGACATGATGTGGGGTTGCCAGCCTCAGTTCACCTCAGGGTTACAGAAAGAGTGTTCACCTCAGGGTTACAGAAAGAGTGATGGCCACAGGTATCGCCATCCTGGGACAGTGGTCAAGCGTCTTCACCACAAATAAATAAAATCTTAAAAAAAAAAAAAAAAAAAAAAACCTCCAAATTTTCCAAGCTTTCTATACTATTAAAACCCACTGATAGGGGCACCTGGGTGGCTCAGTGGTTGAATGTCTGCCTTTGGCTCAGGTCATGGTCCCAGGGTCCTAGGATTGATTCCTTTCATCAGGCTCCCTGCGGGGAGCCTGCTTCTCCCTCTGCCCATGTCTCTCCCTCTCTCTGTGTGTTTCTCATGAATAAATACATAAATAAATATTTTTTTAAAAAATAAATAAAAAACAAAACCCACTTATAAAGGGCTTAAAGCCTAATCATGCATAATGAATATAAAAGGTATATATATCCAAAACTACATTCATTCAACATCTACTCATACTATGCACTCAAATATGCACAATATATGCATATCTGAATATTTAGTGAATATCCCTCAGGGCTTACCACTTTCAATGGAGACTAGGAACTAATCATTTAACAGAATACTCATGTGCAGGGATACAGAAAAACAGTAAATGAAAAAGTTAAAAATTAAAAGGAATGGAACTACATCTCTTAGTAGAACTTACCATGGCATCTTCCATATCATACCCAGTGTAAGAAATAACAGCAACGATGGCATTTGTCCCAATTGGATAGTTATCCATGTCATAATAATCATACATGTATGGTCTCACTAAAGGGCTTTGTGGGGTCTGAAGACGATACAGTTTATTATCTGATCGGGCTTGGTAAGTGAGAAGTGGAAAGCCCATAGTTTGCTTCCCTACAAAGGGAAAAAAAAAAACCAAGCCTGTAGCATCTTGTTTTTTCCCCTTGATTATAAAGGTCATATATAAAATTGGAAACAATAAAATATACATCACAGAGAAATAAATCAATACACAGCATGAAAATGAAGCAGACTCACATGTATCTATGCAATCAGACCCTGAAAACAATGCTGAGTGGGGGAAAAAAAGCACAGAATGTCATTTAATGTATGATTTATGTACATTTGTAACACATCCCAGACAATTCTATACCTAGTTTATGGGGACATGTATATTATGTAAAAAAGCATAAAAAAGGAGATAATAAAGGATATATATATATATATAAAAACTACAGGGTATTACTAGTGGAAGAGAAGGGGTGAAAAGGGGACAGTAACTATTATCGAATTAGATTATTTTCTTACACAGCAAAATGCCAGTGTTTGTTAATTCTGGGTGTGGGGTACAGAGGGTAGGGAAGTAAGACTTCTTTGTACTACTTTACATTATAGAGTATCGATTTGAAACAATGTTAAGACTAAATATATATATGCATACATACATAGTGGAATTTTAAAAGACAGAAAAGGAGACTTCCAGTTTCCAGTAATAAAATGCTGCTCCTACAAGACCACTCTCAGCACATAAAATCCAGAACAATATAAAACAGAAAATCACCTCTTATGCACACACAGACACACACACACAAAATCTGAAACCACTGGAAAATAACCAAGAGCTATCAGGTACTGGAGACGAATTTACACTTGAACAAAAGAAGTGGAACAGAGTGAACTACTAGCTTTTTTAGTTTTTAATGTTTTTGCTTTTGCCTGATGGTCCAGTCAGTATAGTGGCTACAACTTAGAGACCTACAGTCTTGCTGGCTTGAAGAACCAAGGAGTAGAGTTCAGAACACAAGAGAAAAAAAAAAAAAAAAAAAAACAGAACACAAGAGCAACTAAAATGTAAGAGGGGATATTTTAGAAAGGAAGGAACAGTAAAGAGCCTGAAATTCTGCATATAAACTGAGTCAAATCTTCGGTGGACTGAACTATGCATGCATGGGACAGATCCGAGCAGCCCACCTCAGGCCAGAAGAACATACTTCAACTGCTCTGTTCCACTACCTAACAATTAAAGATAAGACCAATCCTCTTCAGAGGAACATAATAGAACCCATAGTCTTTTTTTTTCTTTTCCCCTAAGGATTTTATTTATTTGAAAGAGAGCATGCACACAACAGAGACAGAACACGAGCAGGGGAGAGGGGTAGGGGGAGAGGGAGAAGCAGATTCCCCTCTAAGCAGGGAGCCCAATGTGAGGTTCCATTCCAGGACCCTGAGATATGACCCAAGCCAAAGACAGATGCTTAACCAATTGAGCCACCCATGTGCCCCTGATGATATCTTTTAAAACAGATTTTAGAATATCAGTAAACTGCAAGCACAAAGATCATATCTAGACATATCATACTTACTCAGCTACAAACCAGATATAAAGAGAAAATCTTAAGGATGGGAAAATAATACATTATATACAATCAAACAATCACTGACTTCTAGATACCAAGAAGAGACCATGTAGCATCTCTTAAGTGCTAAAAAAAAAAAAAAAGTAACTGTCAAACCAGAATCGTACATCCAGTTCCAAGTAAAGATGAAATAGAGACATTTTTGGAGAAATAAAAGCTAAGAGGATTTGTAGCCAGCAACCTACTATAAAAAATGTTATAGGAAGGTTTTTTAGGCTCAAAGGATGCAACACTCAATGGAAACCTGAATCATTAGGTAGGCAGAGCACCGGAAGTGATAAGATGTGGGTGACTACAAGGGCTTGTGTTCTTCAAAAATCAAATTACAAGATCTCAGACAAACCAAATCAATAAACATTCTACAAAATAAACTATATTTTTGTTCAACAATGTTAAAATCAAAAATGACAAAGGCTAAGGATCTAATTTAAAAGACTAAGGAGGGGATCCCTGGGTGGCTTAGCGGTTTGGCGCCTGCCTTTGGCCCAGGGCGCAATCCTGGAGTCCCGGGATCGAGTCTCGCGTCGGGTTCCCAGCATGGGAGCCTGTTCCTCCCTCTGCCTGTGTGTGTCTCTGCCTCTCTCTATCATAAATAAATAAATAAACCTTTAAAAAAATACAATAAAATAAAAATAAAAGACTAAGGAGAGGGTGTCTAGATGACTGCCTTCAGCTCAGGTCATGATCCTGGAGCTCTGGGATGGAGCCCCACATCAGGCTCCCTGCTCAGGGGGGAACCTGCTTCTCCCTTTCCCTGCTGCTCCTCCTGCTTGTTCTCTGTCAAATAAATAAATAAAATCTTAAAAAAAAAAAAAAAGAATTAAATGACTAAAGAGATGTGTCAACTAATACATTGCATGATCCTGGACTAGGTGCTACACAGAAAAAAATTTGCCATAAACCATATTTTGGGGATGATCAATCAAAATCAGAGTAAGGACTATAGAACAGTATAATGACATCAATATCAATGTCATTAACATCAACTTCCTGATGTTAATATTTGCCCTTGTTATATGTAAGGAGACATCCTTGCTGTTAGGAAATACACAATGAAATATTTAGGGATAAAGGGGCATCGTGTTTGCAATTTACCTCCAAATGGAAAATAGTGCACATGTTAACAGAATCTACATAAAGGGCTTACAGAAGTTCTTTGTACCATTCCCACAACATTTCTCTGAATTTGAAATTATTTCAAAATAAAAAAGTTATAAGCACTTTTCTTCTGTGTGAATCCCACCACCCTCCACTCCATCTTACCCATCTGGCACTGATACATGTTCCGGGGACTCTGGTTGTGATCGGAGAAGGGGATGAAGTTGGCAATCACACTCAGCAGGCTGTGAGGGAAGAGCTCCTGGTGAGTGGTAACTCCAGCCAAAACCTCATCCTCAAAGATGGCAATGTTCATGAAGATCTGGAAGAGAGGAAGGGTGAGGAAGTTCAAGGCACAGAATAACTCACTGCTAACATATGAACTCATCCTCTCTCTGAGTTTAGGACTCAAAGATGTGAATGCAAACGTTCCCACTCCATATCATGAACACTGATGGGATCCACTGGGAAGCACGGAGAAGCTTCCAGTCAGAAATACTGTTTGCCTGATGCATTTCATTCTAAATCTACCCTGGTCCAACTGTGAAGGACAGGAAGAGAGACATTTTGAGGTAGCACAAAGCCCACAGTTTTGCAACTGCAAAGATGTAGGCAAATATTAAGTCTAATGGAATGTTCCCACCTCACCACCTGACTCAGAGTCAGGTGCAAAGGAGCTGGGCGGGATGGGAAGGCAGGTAATGTGACCACCAACTCTCTTTCTCGATATGTAAGCACAGTGAGGGAACATGTGAAAACTGCTTTGTTCTGGTAGGAGGCAGAAAGTAAATTCTGATTTTTTTCAAATGCCCAATTGTTATTAAAGAACAACAACACTTTCTTTATAAAAAGAAGTTTTCTGGTTTTTTTTGTTTTTTTTTTTTTTTTTTTTGAGAGAGGAAACAGGTGCTCATGCAAGCAGGCAGAGGGACAGAGGGAAAGAGAGAATGTGAAGCAGACTTCCTGCTGAGTGCAGAGCCCGACTTAGGGTTCAATCCCATGACCCTGATATCATGACCTGAGCAGAAATCAAGAGTTGGACACTTAACTGACTGAGCCACCCAGGTACCCCGATAACACTTTAAAAAAAGAGTGGTTATTAAGTCTCCGAAAGTTGTGTACTGTAACAGGAGCATATACAGGCATCAATCACAATGTTCTACATACCTGTTCCATAGTTCCAATTAGTTCTTCTTTGCCTAATTCCAAGTTCTGTACAGGCCGTACCAATCTACAAGGAGTGGTAAACAGGAACAATCCTGGGTATAAACTTGGTTTTCCTGTCATGGGGATAAGGGCCACTTCCATCCAGGGAGGAATTCTTTTTTCTTTTAATACCTGTTTCAACAGAGCTCAATTAAGAAGTGATGTGTTTCACATTTATCCTCCTGTCACCTAGGAGGTGGGTAGAATGGGAAAGGAGGTCAAATATAAAAAGCAGCATCAAGATATTAAATTAGTGGGACACCTGGGTGGCTCAGTGGTTGAGCATTTGCGTTCGGCTCAGACCGTGATCCCGGAGGTCCTGGGATCGAGTCCCATATCGGGCTCCTTGCATGGAGCCTGCTTTCCCTGTCTCTGCCTCTCTCGTGAATAAAAAAATAAAATCTTAAAAAAAAAAATTTAAATCAGTTATGCCAGTAATAACTTTGTGTCCTTCCAGTCTCATCACCACACAGAATGCTACTCACCTCATATCCAGAATTGGCAAAAGCCCTACTTTCTGGGGGGGTGGGTGGTACCTCACTATGTGGCAAACTGGTAAAGGGGAGCCTGGGGGAAAGGTAAACCAAGAAGGTGCACGTGGATGCATAAGTAAAACTTTGTCCTCTGATGTCTAGAATGTAGTATATTACTGGTTTTATTTTAAACTGTACTCAATGAAAAGGCTCTTCTACCTGGAAATTAAAAAAACAAAACAACAAAACTTCTATTAACCAACTCCAGGGTAAAATATAAACACACATTACAAAAATGTGAAAAAAAATAACAAGACCTATATATCAGAACTTCAGGGGATTCACAGCTAAACAATCATCAACAAAAACAGATGGATTAAATTCTTAACATAAAAGCTAAAAAAACCCCAAACAAACAGAACACACATACGTAAAACCCCCACAAGTTAACAAAGATAAAACCTGAACTTAATAAGGTATAGTACCGAAAAAGGCTCAAAGCAACAAATCAAAATTCTTGGTTCTTTAAAAAAAAAAACCAACAAATGCCCCTTGTTTAACTTAGTCAAGAAAAAAAGGGGGGGGGGCAGACACAAATGTACTAAGAAATGACAACAGCAAAAAAACTACTGAAACTAAAATTTAAAATTATGAGTATACTCTGCACAACTCCAAGAAATCAAAATAACATGGGTAAAATACAGGCTACCCAAACAGACCTCATTAGAAGTAGAAAGCCTCTTAAACATGGTTATGATGGTAAATTCTGTTATGTAAATTTATTTATTTTTAAGATTTTATTTATTTATTCACGAGAGACACACAGAAAGAGGCAGATATAGGCAGAGGGAGAAGCAGGCTCCATGCGGGGAGCTCGATACAGAAACTCGATCCTAGGACCCCAGGATCACAACCTGAGCCAAAGGCAGACACTCTACCACTGAGCCACCCAGGGACCCCACCATTAGTATTTTCAAAACAAAAAAAGTTAAGATTTCTTAGACTAGGGCCTCGGTGAAACTACCAAAAAAAAAAAAAAAAAAAAAAAATTGTGCGCAGGTCAAAGCATTTGCCCCAGAGCCCGACTTCTGAGGTCAGCCCAAGACAAGATTCTGCAACTCTGGGGAATGTGCAGGCACTTAGGGAATTAGCTTCTGGCCTCCAGACCCCCTGACCACTCTAGACGGCCCTGGGGCTATCTCAACAACCAGAAAAGGACTGACGACTTACGATGAAGGGATAGAACAATTCACAAAGACTCAAGATAACCTTAAAATGTCGGAGAGACTCTGCAATGCTAGGAGCAAGCTCCTTATCCACCCAGCCAACCATGACGCCATCTAGCAGGACAGGGTAGCACTCGCTGTAGGGTCGATGTGGAGCTCCGTCAACTGGAGTGACCCCTGGTGGAAGGGAACAAACAGAAGGCTCACATCTGAACACTTTTTCTTACATTAAAAACTCCCTCCAGGTGGGCTCAACAGCCACTTCATCATTTTAGACATCTAGTTATCTTGTCTCTACACCAGAACATTTTTGTATCGCTTGAGTGTTTCTAAATCATTTCAGCTAGGACACACAAGAAATGAATGACTCTGTCCATCTGAGGGGAGAGCAGCTGGGGGCCAGGGATCTAAGAGAGACTTTCCACTGCACACCTTCTACATTTTGACAAACAGATTAACTCTTCCCCCAAAACCTAACTAACTACATTTAATCCTCATTATTTGTGGATTCCACACCTGTGAATTTGCCTATTTGCTAAAATGTATTTGTAACCGCAACATTAATACTAGTGCTTTTGTGGTCATTCCAGGACATTCAGCCAAAGCAGAGAGAGTGGCTAGAAGTCCCCAGGAACAAAGGCTGTGTCTCTGATTAACACCAGGGTACAGACTAACAACACCTTTTTAACTGTTTTCCTGCAAAAGGACCTTCTTTCCTACTTAGAGGTCCAGGAGTTAAGCCACCAGATGCAGGGAGAGTGACTCCAAATGTTTTTTCCAATATTAAATGCTGAATGCTGCTTTATTTCAAATGCTATGACGTCTTTTGAGGGAGAGAATGTGAAAGAGCAAAATTACAACATTTAATTTCTCCTTCACTTATTTTCAAAAAATGCACCCGACCTACAGAAAAGCCAAGGAACCAGCCCAACTGCTGTGTAGAAGAGGAAACAGAATTCTTGCAGGAATTCTCTGCTCAGCACCTCAAAAAGTCTAACTTAATAGTCTGTACCTGTTAAAACCCACATACCCAAATAAGACTGTTTCAAACCTTACACAACATACCCAAGCTGCAGAGCAAAGTGGGAACAGATGCCGTATACACACATTGTGTGACGACCTCACACACAGCGGTCAAGTGGTTCATCAGGCCACAGGGCTCCCCATCTGGGGTGTGCACAGGACAAAGGAAACCCCAGGACTCTGGCAGCAGCCTGCGTACTGTGGTGGTCCTCATCTTGGCAAAATCAGCCCCTCTGTGCACACAGCGGAAATGGGAGAGATAGCGTATGAAGTTCAGCTTATCAGCCACAACACAAAGTCCAGAATCTTGCAGGAAGCCAAGACCTTAATAAAACAAAAATCATTCAAATACAGGTTCAACTTAAAAAACAAAGTCTATTCTAATTTGAGGCTCTGGGGACAGAAAACTCAGAGCACACTATAAATCATGGAGTTACCATAAAGTTTATTAGCTCTGATGAGTAGGAAGAGTTTACAAAATTAGTAGTAAAAAGGCAGTCAAAATCTTGATTTCCCAAATTATATAAGCCCCATGGGTTCCCTCTCCCCTCTACTACTACCTCCTTTGTGGGAAACATTAAAGGAACATGAAACAGCCAGCAACTAAATGGGATGCATCAGAAGGAATTGGAGAGTATGTAAGAAGCTATTAGTCCTAAAAAAAAGATGGTATCGGGACCATCTGTTTAAAAAAACCAGCAGAGGGCAGCCCAGGTGGCTCAGCCTTCGGCCCAGGGCCTGATCCTGGAGACCCAGGATCAAGTCCCACATAGGACTCCCTGTATGGAGCCTGCTTCTCCCTCTGCCTGTGTCTCTGCCTCTCTCTCTGTCTCTCTCATGAATAAATAAATGAAATCTTTAAAAAAAAAAAAAAAAAACCCCAGCAGATTATCTGGGCTCTCAATGACCACTTAAGTTTTTCAGGCCTGGCTGATGCACCTAGTTTAGGGACGGGCATGTATCTACCCTTCCAAACTGCCTGTCCGGGTAACTGTCACTCACAGATCTACACTGTCGTTAGTACTATGGAAGGAGGCACAGAGATGCATGTGACAATGAGAAATGGATTTAAGCTCTACGGATGCCTCGTCTCAAGCCTTTCAGACTGACACACACTTGTCAAATTTACAATGTGAAATCGAAGAGACAAGTTCACTTTTAAAGAGAACCTATACTGAGCAATTAAGATTTAATTTAAGGGATCCCTGGGTGGCGCAGCGGTTTGGCGCCTGCCTTTGGCCCAGGGCGCGATTCTGGAGACCCGGGATCAAATCCCACGTCAGGCTCCTGGTGCATGGAGCCTGCTTCTCCCTCTGCCTGTGTCTCTGCCTCTCTCTCTCTCTCTGTGTGTGTGTGACTATCATAAATTAAAAAAAAACAAAAAAAAAAACTAATGTCTAAAAAAAAAAAAGATTTAACTTAAAATGAAGCCAATCTGTTTTATTTTACCTGTTTTAGAACGCAGATTCCCAGTAGCAAGAAGATATTCAAATGGTTTTGTAAGGTCTGTTCCCAGATTAAAAATCTTCATCAAATTTTCAGTGTTTATGGACACATTCGTCTTCTGAGACCTCTTATCTAGAGCTATTTTAATAGACACTAACCAAGATTCCATTTTTTCCTGAAATAAAATTTAAACTATTATATTCAGATTATTTGCTTTTTGTATTTACTCCTACGTAATCTACCCACAACAAAGGCCCACAACATATACATTTGACATGGAAAACATGTGGCCTATAACCCTGAAAACCAGCCTTTCAATGCACTATTATAGGTTAGGCTTTTTTTTTTTTTTTAAAGATTTTATTTATTTATTCATGAGACAGAAAAGGAGACAGAGACCTAGGAAGAGGGAGAAGCAGGCTCCATGCAGGGAGCCTGACATGGGACTCAATCCTGGGACTCCAGGATCATGCCCTGGGCTGAAGGAGGCACTAAACCACTGAGCCACCCAGGCTGCCCTTAGGTTAGGCATTCTTAAGACAGAAGCTACAAATTCCTGTAGATCAGAGTTTCTCAACCTTGGCACTATCAACATTTTGGCTGGAATAGCTCTTTGTGCAGAGGCACCCTGCATGCATGTAGGATGTCTAGCAGCATCCCTGGCCCTTAACCACTGGATGCCAAAAGCATCCCCGCAAGCTGTGACAACCGAAAATGTCTCCACACATCATCAAATATCCCTTGGAGTGGGGCAAAGTTGCTCCTAGTCAAGATTATTGACACAAATGGAAAGAATCAAAACGGTTTGCTTTGGTTTTAGAAAAGTTTTTCATTAAAATGCTCTTAATCAAGCAGTCAAAACAGCTTCTACCGGAGACAGGCAACAAAAACAAAGCTTTGAGACCAAGCAGCAGCAGCCCACTGTCCTAACAAAATCAACTAGGAAGAGCTCAGTATCTCAAATGACACCCAACATACAAGATAGTTGACAAGATCATAGGAAAGACTGATGTTTTCTTCTCCTATAAATCTAAAACAAATGGAAAATAAGAGAGAAGAGGAGAGGAGAGGAGAGGAGAGGAGAGGAGAGGAGAGGAGAGGAGAGGAGAGGAGAGAGAGAAGAGAAGAGAAGAGAAGAGAAGAGAAGAGAAGAGAAGAGAAGAGAAGAGAAGAGAAGAGAAAACGAAAGCCACAGAACTGAGGGTCAGAGATACCAGAAGCAGTTCTGTAACCCAAGACAGGAGGCGGCGGGAAGAATGAGGAGCTAACTCTCTCTGCCTACTGCCACTTTGTTGTTAACCTGCTAGGGCAAGCAGCTAGTAGTTCTTGGGTGCATACTGTAAAATGGTACTTTGCTTATTTATTTAATCCTCACAACAAACTTTTCTTCATGAAGCAGGGCATTAGAGGATTGCTTAGGCCAAATGTATTTCAGAGTATTTCCAGAGTTTAGAAAGGTAGCAGGTGCATAAACCTAACATGTAGTATAAAGACTGAGGGACTGGCTTGTAATCAAACACATTTCTACAGTGAAACACACAAAGTGTCACACTAAGTAGAATCAATAAAAATTATAAATAGCGTCATGTCAGGGCAGGTCAGGTTGTCCTGCCAATTCGTGGTTTTTTTTGGGGGGTTCTAGCACCTTTGAGATTTAGAAAAGCAATTGAATGACTGGGACTTGTCTCTATGTAAGGCCTACACACAACAGGGCTAGAGAAGTGAGAGAGGCCTCTCAGAAGCCATCCTATAAGGTTCACCAGCCTTTCCAGTGAAAGGTTTAGGCGTATAAAGCTGAGCAGGGAGGGGAGACCCCACAGAAGATGATGAACAGCGTCCACCCAATCTGCTCTTAAAAAGGGCAGCTCTGCAGTATCTCTAGCTCCCCACCCCCACCCCCCGCCCAATAAGAAGCCCTCAGAACCAAGCACAGAAATCACAGGACACTTCAATCTCTGCTGCAACACTCTGTGAAATAGCTAACGAAGCCTGTAATTAAGATTATGTCAATGTTCTGTACCTTCCTGAAGATTATTATGTCCCAAATTCAGAGGCTCGGAAGCTTAAAACAAAGCTGGTACAAAAGTAAGGAGATCGCACACGTTAGGTCAGTAACATGTTACCGTTAATGTTATGACCAACATTTGATGTTGTCTTTACTTAGCCTCTAAGAAGCATTAAAGAAATTTCTGAATTTGATATAAACTAAGATCTTTGATTAACTCCCTTACTGCTAAACAAACAAAAAGAAAAGGCAAGACTATATAAAATGCCACAACTACAAATCATAAATACATAGGAAACACTACTGCTGGAAATTGTCTCACCATTCCGCAAGCAGGACCACTACCCACGGTGAAAGCAGCAGGTGTTTACCTTCAGAAACATAAGGAAGAGTTGACCAGGTGTGAGGACTTCTTGGTTCACTAAACTATCAGGATTGTCTTCCATGCACTCTCCTTTGGCTAAAGCAAAGAGTTTCCGTGTCATGAGACAAAGCATATAAAACTTCTCAGTATTGGATTTCAAGTGGATACAGATGCACTGGCTGTCAAAACAAAAAATTAAAGCTTAAAACAATTCAGTTGCCACTAGTACTAATCAAGGTTCCCAATTCCTATTTACTTATTCCTATTTACTCATTTTCAAAAAACCGTTTTCATCTTTACTAGCAACATTAGCAAAAGGACTGTACATAGTCACAAAATCTAGAGCTCTGCTGGACAATATGGCATGACAAGCAACATGTAGACATTTTAATTTACATTAATTAAAATTAAATAAAATTAAGAATTCAGCTTCTCAGTTGCACTGGCCATTCAAGTTCTCAGTATGGGACTTGTGGCTATCTACTGGATGGCACTAGTAACTATATGGTGGTTACATAACAGAGTCCTTGCCTTGGGGAAATAAAGGGACACGATGCCCAAAACTTTCAAATGCTGCAGAAAGAAAAACATTTATCTACATGCAAAGAAATTAAGAAAGTGAATGTAGTAAAAAAGACAACTAGTGAATGTAAGGGTCCACTGTACCTTTTTTTTTTTTTTTTTTTTTTTGCAGATCCACTGTACCATTTTTGCAGCAATTCTGGAAGTTTGAAGTTGTTTCAAAATAAAAGCGTAAAAGTACAATAAAATAAAATGAAAGTACCACAAAAAGAAAGGTGAGGATGGCCACAGAAACAGAGCTAGCCCCCACTTCCTTAGACCAGAATCCTACCCACAGGTCCATTCTGAGTCCCAGATGACTCACCAGCCCTAACAACAATCAATATAAACTACCACTGACACCTTCCACCCCACAAAAAACAGTTTAAGCAAAAGCACACATACTTAAACAGAAATTCTGCAGCTTGTTCATTTGGATACCAGTCAGGGAGACTGAGCTTTACTCTGAAGCGTTCACCTAGATAGTTAAGGACCTGTTTTTGTGTGGAACAACCCTCTTCCATTACGATCCTTAACATCTGAGAAACTGAGTTTCTAAAGAAAGAGTCCTCCTCTTTGCCTTTGATGAGCTCCTGAAAAATCTGATAATCGGAGAAACTGACAAGTGCCTAGAACAGAAAAAAAAAGAAAGGTTTTCTTTTTAATTGGTAGTAATAACTAAACGATTTCACTCATTAGGTAACTATTCTCAATTTTTCTAATATCCAAGAATAAGAACTACTCCACTATTGGTGAATCGAAATGAATTCCCCAAAATAAGGCAGGGCTTGTATGTCAAGATAGCAAGATGGCCCCAATGATCCTTGCCTTCTGGTATTCACAGCCTTATATAGCCTCCTCCCATACTAAGTCAGCATGGGCCCATGTGACCAAGACCATGTGGTGAAGAAGTGGATGTGTGACTTTCAAGGACAGGTCATAACAAGGACTGCGGGTCAGCCTTGCTCTTTTGGCTAACCCTCTCAGGGAAGACAGCTGCCTCAAGCAGCCTATGGAGAGGCCCACGCAGAATGGAACTGAGATCTCCTGCCAAGAGACTGTACTGACTTGCCAGCCAAGAGTGAGCACTTTGGGAGTGGATCCTCTGGCTGCTGGTCAAGCCTTCTAAATGACTGCAGCCGCTCTGACATCTCACTGCAACCTCCTGAGACCTTGAGGCAGAAGTGTCCCCGACCACAGGAACTTCCAAATTCCTGACCACAGAAATCCTGAGAGGGAAATGTTGACTGATTCTTTAGGCCAGTGAATTTTGGATAATTTGTTATGGAGCAGTGCAAAGCTGTTACAGCATGAACTCTGCTCTGGAGAACATATTCATTCTGCCCCAAATGTGACTTCCAGTGAAGCTCTTCATAGCAAAATAAATATATTCACTATGTCACACCTTAAGTGCAAATCCCAAAGGAAGAAAAAAGAGTTCTTTCCGATAAATAAAGTTCAACATGACCGTGCCATTTTCCAAGTAGTGAAGGTTCATGTTGACAGCAGAATGTTCCTCCCTCACACAGTGCATGGAGATTCCTATTGAAACAAAGCAAAAAGTAAAAAACTTAGTGATACTGTAACTGCTTCGATCATCATTTTTTTCTGAATTATTTTTAATTTTTTTTTTAAGATTTTATTTATTTATTCATGAGAAACACAGAAAGAGAAAGTCAGACACACAGAGCGAGAAGCAGGCTCCATGCAAGGAGCCTGATGCAGGACTCAATCCTGGAACTCTAGGACTACACCCTGAGCCAAAGGCAGATGCTCAACCACTGAGCCACCTAGGCGTCCCTTTACTCTCTTAAAAACAAGGCCAAGGGATCCCTGGGTAGCGCAGTGGTTTGGCGCCTGCCTTTGGCCCAGGGCGCGATCCTGGAGACCCGGGATCGAGTCCCACGTCGGGCTCCCGGTGCGTGGAGCCTGCTTCTCCCTCTGCGTGGAGCCTGCTTCTCCCTCTGCCTGTGTCTCTGCCTCTCTCTCTCTCTCTCTCTGTGTGTGACTATCATAAATAAATAAAAATTAAAGAAAAAAAATTTTAAAACAAGGCCAAATCACCAAGGTTAGGTAAGACTGGCAACCAAAAATGTCTCCAAACCTTGCCAAATGTCCCCAACAGTGCACCATCTCCCTGGGTTGAAAACCACTCAAAGTAACTGAAGCTACAGATTCAATCAAACTTCAAAGTTTCCTTAGAGGGCAGGGTCCATGTCTTACAACACATTATATCGCTAGCACCCTGCAGAATCTGATCATATAGCATTTTATACCCCCCATACCCTGTGGAATCTGGTCAGGAGACGATGGCATAATCTAAGAGTTCAAATGAGAAAAAGAAAATTTTAGATTTTAAGTTTGTTTCAGCTTTAAACAAAGATTGCTAAGACACTCTGCATCAGTGATGCAAAAGAATAAATGACTAGGCATTTGGACTTGCTGAGATGCTATTATTCTAGATATAGTACGTATGTCTATCATTAGAGGCTGATTTTTAGATTAGAATAAATTATTTAATTGTAAGGTTACCCAAGAATGCAAAATGTCTTATGAAGCCAGGCACTGTCACAGAGAGTGCTCAGAGGTCAGGTGTCTGTCAGCCAAGGACCCCAAGAAGAATGCCATGGTAGTCTGCACCAGAAGACTTTTGAGGCCCACACCTACCTCTCAGTCAGGCCAACCTTCATCTTCATATGTAGTATCATAAATATACGTGTTATTTCAATGTGAACAAAATGATACATAATAGAAAGGGTTTCCCACTATAAAATCCTTTTTTTTTTTAAAAGATTTTATTCATTTATTCGTGAGAGACAGAGAGAGAGAGAGAGAGAGAGAGAGGCACAGGCGGAGGAAGAAGCAGGCTCCATGCAGGGAACCCGACGTGGGACTTGATCCCGGGTCTCCAGGTTCACACCCTCGGCTGAAGGCAGTGCTAAACTGCCGAGCCACCTCGGCGCCCCCCCCCCCGCCCCCTTTTTTGGGAAAGATTTTATTTGGCACCTAGGTGGCTCAGCTGGTTAAGTGTCTGCCTTTGGCTCAGTCATGATCTTAAGGTCCTGGGATCAAGCCCCACATCAGGTTTCCAGCTCAGCAGAGTCTGCTTTTCTCTCTCTCCCCTGCTTGTGCTCTCTCACGTAAACAAATTTTAAAATTTATTTATTTATTTGACAGAGAAAGAGCACGCAAATGCACGCACACAGGCAGGGGGAGTGGCAAAAGCAGAGTCCCTGCTGAGCAGGGAGCCCAACACAGCACTGGATCCCAGAACCCTAGGATCATGATCTGAGCTGAAGATAGGTGCTTAACTGACTGAACCACCCAGGCACCCCCCACTATAAAATCTTAACAGAAATGCTTACTAGAAAAACAAAACTTTTCTAAGAGAACATTCCAAAGATCACTACAACTTACCATACTGAGTATAGCCAGGCCCTCTGGTTTTCCATTTTGGTCTTATCATTGCAATGGGGAAATTCCTCCGAGGCATAATCAACATTCGGATGACTTTTTCAATGCCATTAATTATAAAATAGCCTCCCATTTCCTGCCAAAGAGATGAATTATAATTTGTTAAACAAAGAAACATTCATTGTAAACATGACGCTGTCAGATGCAGTGCAAGGTGCAAAAGAGGCACAGAGGCAAAAGGGTCTATGGATCCCTTGGAAACTATCTGGAAACTATCAGTTTGTGAATTAACAGTCTTTTTCAGTGCATTAGAAAGGTTCTAGGGACCTGGGAGAAAAGTATGGAAGAAAATCAGGGTACTCTCTTCCACTGGACAAACTTGACCTAACTTGCCCTTTGTCCCCTAAAATGATTTGTCTTCAAATGATATTTATTTAAAGATTTTATTTATCTATCTATCTATCTATCTATTTATTTATGAGACAAGAGCAAGAGAGAGCGAGAAAGAGCAGAGAGGGGAGACAGAGGGAGAAGCTGACTCCCCTCCAAGCAGGGAGCCTGATGAGAGGCTTGATCCCACAACCCTGGGGTCATGACCTGAGCTGAAGGCAGATGCTTAACTGACTAAGATACCCAGGTGCCCCATCTTCAAATGATATTTAAAAAACAAAACAAAACCAAAAAAACTTACTCTAAAGACATGAAAACAATAGCCATTTTCCTTCTAGGCAAATAAGGTTTTCTAAATAAGTTTAAAAACTTTGTGTAAAAACTTTGGAAACCAGAAATTCAGATGAGCTAAAGAGGAAAATATTCTTAATACCTCTAGTATCACACTTCTGTAATAAATAAAATGCTACTACACACTGATTGCCCACTATGAAGCAGGTATAAGTTCTATGTCACCATTCCATTTAATCCTCATAATAATGAGTGGCACAGTTGTTATGCCCCACAGAAACTAAGGCTCAGAAAGATGGAACATGCCCCAAACCATGTAACTGGCAAGTAGAGCAGTTTGGTGTCAAACCCATCTGACACCATAACCCTCATCCCGAGACGTAACACAGTCTCTCTCTGTGATCACTTCAACTCAATACTGCAAAACCACATAATGCAGCTGAAAAAGATGCTGAAGGGAAGGTATGGGAAGCATTTAGTATGTTCACAGAATCTTAATGCTCGTAAAGCAGACATCTCTAAATGTGTATTATATAGAAAATTCGGGAAAAATCAACTCTTCCTCCATAATAATGTTCTCTAATTGTGTGGCCACTTTTTATACACTCCCTTGTTTGAGACTCATTCTGAGCCCTACACAGGATGCACACATGGTAGTAAGACCCATTTTCCTATCCAGAAATTGAAGCACAGAAAGAAAAACTGACTCCAACTGACAAGTGTCGTTATCTTCTCACTCCCAACCCAAGCCTTTTCTAGCATCACGTGGCCTTGAAGCATACTGGCTATAAGTTACCTCTACTTCTTCATGGTGCTCAATGAGGGCTTTGGGGGGAAGACTGTGTAAGTTGCAGAGCTTAGACTTCACCATGATGGGAATGTAGCCAAGAAACTGTTTAATGATTCCTTTTGAGATTCCATTCACTGCCCAGCTGATATCAGCCTAAATAAAAATGAGAGAGAGAGGGAAAAAAAAATTAATGGAAAGAAATTATCTGGATCTATAAGAACAAGAATTTTAAAAGAATAAGGAAGAAGATCATAAAGTGAATGATTTTATGCTTCAGATATAGAAGACAGGGTCTCTTAGATGGCAGTACTAAGAAAGCAGAAATCTGGTATAAATTTTATTAGGTATCAGCCTTTTTCTAAAAAATGTACAGTCTGAGAGTCACGCACTGTCACATGTACTCACTGTCAACTTGCCACGGTAGGTACTCCTCCGGCCCCGGCATTCTGCTGGATAAATGTTGAGCTCTTTGCAGATGTTCCCTTTTGGAACCATGGGTGGACTGATGACAGCATCCACAATAGTAAGAGAGATCCGCTCATCTTTGAAAGCAAATTCAAAGGGAGGTATAGCCTGAAAGACAGTTCACACTATCAATTGCTTGCATTTTTCTTTCTTTCTTTCTTTTTTTTTTTTTTTTATTTATGATAGTCACAGAGCGAGAAAGAGAGAGAGGCAGAGACATAGGCAGGGGGAGAAGCAGGCTCCATGCACCGGGAGCCCGATGTGGGATCCGATCCCGGGTCTCCAGGATCGCGCCCTGGGCCAAAGGCAGGCGCCAAACCGCTGCGCCACCCAGGGATCCCAATTGCTTGCATTTCTAAGGTGCATTTCTCTAAGAGTCTTCCAAACCCCACACGTTCTACAAGCACTGATGCCCATAATGCTAAATGTGACACATCTAAGAAGATGGTTAAAGCTACATCTATTCTACTCATCCCCTAAGTCCCTAAAACTCTAGCACGCTAATTCAGATTATAAGTAAGTGTCTAATGCACGTCAAATTCGTGGTAGGCTCTGGAGTACAGTTGTGTCTAGAACAAAGCTGTTCAAAGTGCCTGACTTCTCTATTATACCTGGTGTCTGCTAAGTACATAGCAAGATAAATGGGACTGCTGCTAACAGGCAAGGATACGGAAACATCCTCCTGATTTAGGAGCAGACACTCTAACGCCATTCTTTGATATTTGTACATTTCATTCCACAGTGGCTTCGCACTGCAGCCAGAGCCATGTGGGTGATTCTTCCCATTCCTAACCATTTCTCCTCTGCCCTACCCCCTGGGGAAGCTCTATTGTTCAGAGGAAGGGGCATCACTGAGCTCCCCTACAGGTTAACTATGAACAACCTCCTAGCCTTAGCGTTGGAACAAGAATGCCAGAAATGATGCCAAGAATATAAAGAAGGTTCTCCCCCTCATGTCAGTTCAATTGACCTTTTCTAAGTTTTAAAATTTTATCTAAAGCTGTCATTGTTACAAGTTTAATATTCTATAATTTTTTTAATCTATACCCTATTTAAGGATGAAGCATTAATTTTTAAAAGGGAGAATATTCACTTTCTCAAGCCACAGCTGCACTATCTATATCTCAACACAATCACATTACTTGAGACGGTTACGATCTATAAAGGAGTCATGAACACTGAATTAGTGAATACTGAACCACTGTTCTTAGGGGAAATACAAAGTTAGGTTCCTGTGAGTCTCTGATCACACTTTGTCAACTGATCAGTACATAACCCTGTTTGAAGGACACTTTATTTAATTCATATTGTTGATTCATTAACACTGAACTCAGAACCAACAGCACTAACTCATGACTGAACAAAGGTTATCTCACACAGATTTTCTCTAAAGGGGTACATCACAGCCTTTCTACATTTAGAACACTAGACAGCACTTTAGCACTGTGTTTGAGAGCAATGTTAAACAGTTAAATCACCAACAAAAAGCACCAGAACAAGAAAAACTGGACAGACTTCAAAAAGGATACTTATTAGTATGAGAGCTTGAAACAGGAAAGCAGAGCATCACCTTCTTGGACTTCAGTTGGGACCATGCACATTGGGCAATTAAAATTTTTCACCATTCTGCACATGTTGCTGAGTATTGATTTGGGGGTTACAAATAAATTTTAGTGAGTAGGCAATTCACAAACATGAATTCCTGAAAAATGAGAATTGACCGTAATTCTGAAAAGCCGCCTGTGAGGCATCAATTTGGACTCACAGAATGAAGGAATCCACCCTCCCCCCTCCGAATTGGGCAAAACTCTAAATAAACAAAAATGACAAATGCTACTCTTCCCTTGACTTTATAAATGGTAGTCATTTACTTGACTGTGTTTTATGTAACAATATTTTCACAGAGTATTATGGTACCAGCTAGGGTGCAGCACCTTGATCCATGTGACTACACTTTCTGCATGTACTTCAATCGAAACAATGTATCATGAGAGACTCCTAACCCTGGCAAAGGAACAAGGGGTGGTAGAAAGGGAGGTGGGCAGGGGGTGGGGGTGACTGGGTGACGGGCACTGAGGGGGTCACTTGACGGGATGAGCACTGGGTGATATTCTATATGTTGGCAAATTGAACATACATACATACATACATACATACATAGAAACAATGTATCACGAGGGACGCCTGGGTGGCTCAGCGGTCGAGCATCTGCCTTCAGCCCAGGGCATGATCCTGGACTCCCAGGATCGAGTCCCACATCGGGCTCCCTGCATGGAGTCTGCTTCTCCCTTTGCCTGTGTCTCTGCCTGTGTGTGTGTGTGTGCGTGTGTGTGTCATGAATAAATAAATAAAATTAAAAAGAGAGAGAGAGAGAGAGAACCTCTTCAGGTAAGTTTCAGAGAAGTAAATCTCCCAGGGATGTGAAAGTCTGTGCGTGGTGAATGCCTGGGAAGCCCACCAACCACGGGGCACTTCCTCACTCTCACCCCACCCCGCTGAAACTACAAAACATCTACAAAACAGGTGTTCGGCCTACAAAACACCACCGTTCGAGTCGCAGAGAAATCCCGCAGACGCAGGTTCACCCAGTATTCCCCTAGTCCGCTCGACTCCACGCCCGGGCCCCGCGCGGAGCCTGGCGCGATCCAGGAGTGCACCGTGACCGCCCAGCATCTCTCCGGGACCCCTGCCCCACTCCGCCCAGGCCCCGCTCGCCCCCGCCTCCCCCGCCTCCTGGATCCTGATCCTACCCCCACCCCGCAGCCCCCAGCCCGACCCCCGGCGCAACACGCGCAGCCTCCCCGCCAGCCCCGCCCGGGGCTTCGCCTCCTCGCGGAAGGCGCAGGACCCAGCGGCGCTGGAGAACGCAGAGCCCACGAGCCCGCCAGGACCCCGCGCTCACCTGCACCGCGTGGCTGAGCCCCTCGCGGACCGCGTAGTTGAAGGACTCGACGTGCGCCCGTGTCAGTTCCTGCAACGCTGGCTTTTGCTGCTCCTGCGGGATTCCGTAAGACGGGTCAGTCAAGTGCTTTAGGCTAGGCCCGCTGGGCAGATTCCGCCACCGGCCGGGGGCATCCATGCGTCCGCCTGCACACGGGGAGCCGGGGACCGCTCCACACGCGCCGCCGGGAAGGACGGGCACTTCGGAGCCCACGGCCTGCTGGGAAATGTAGTTCCTCTGGTTCCGCCGGATCTTGGTCCCTCCGTTTTACAGGGTCGACTTGAATCCTAAACCGGGGAGTGAATGGGCCGGGCTAACACTGCACGGAGCCAGAGCGCGGCAGTCCCACCCGCGACTCCCTTCCCGGAAGGCAGGTGGAGCCCCGCCTCACGCCAGCTCCACGTCCGGCTCAGCGTGTGATCGAGCCGTTTAGCGTTTGTTCGCTCAGTTGGTTATCCCCGGAGGAGAGGGGGGTTCCGAGATTCCTTCCCTTCCGTTCCCCCCTGACGCCGACCGGGGCTCGGGGAATACAGCAGATGCTGGCGCCAGACCCACGGCTTCCACCCAACTCTGGGTCGGGAAGACTTCGCTGGTTGGTGAAGGAGGTTGTCCTGGCCAAGCTCCTGACCTCTGACAGACCCGAGTTCTAGGCGCGTGGGAGGCCCGAACATCCGAGGGGACTTCCAGCCTTTAAGATACTTTGAGTTTCTTGCTTTCTCTTTCTCTTTTCTCTTCTCTTCTCTTCTCTTCTCTTCTCTTCTCTTCTCTTCTCTTTTCTTTTCTTTTCTTTTCTTTTCTTTTCTTTTCTTTTCTTTTCTTTTCTTTTCTTGGGACGCCCGGGTGGCTCAGCGGTTGAGCATCTGCCTTTGGCCCAGGGCGTGATCCTGGGGGCCTGGGATCAGTCCCGTGTCGGGCTCCCTGCCTGGAGCCTGCTTCTCCCTGCGCCTGTGTCTCTGCCTCTCTCTCTCTCTCTCCCTCTCTCTCTCTCTCTCTCTCTGTCTCTCATGAGAGGCACAGAGAGAGGGGCAGACACAGGCAGAGGGAGATGTGGGACTCGATCCCAGGACCCTGGGATCAAGACCTGAGCCAAAGGCAGACGCTCAACCACTGAGTCCCCCAGGTGCCCGTCAGCTGGTAGTTTTCATTCTTCCTATACACTTTGAAAAGTTATCTTCTGTTTCGATCCTATGCTGACACCGTTGAACCTACCAAGATGTGTGGAGCTGTAACCTAAGTTGTGGCGCCTCCCGCTTCATGTCGCTGCTCCTTTTTAGGAAAACTCTTCATTTCCTCTCCCCTAGTCGAGGACTTCTAGAAGGCAAGAGGATGAGGGGATTATTGCTGGAGCAACCATTCCCATCAGCATAAACAGTTGCTGGAAAACGGTTAAAACAAAAACAACTCACTGATCCCGAATCCCTCTTTAACTACCAGGTCTCCCCTTCAGAATGCAAGGTTGATCATCCTCACTGTTGCTCTACCGCTTTCAAGGTTCATCCATTTTAGAGCAACTTTCAGTACTTCTTTTCTTTCGTGGCTGAATAAGAATGCATGGTATGGATACATTACATTTTTAACATTTCATAAAATTCATCAGTGAATCTATTTGATCCTGGGCTTTTCCCTATGAAAATATTTTTTTATTATTAATTCAATCTATTTTTAGGTCTGTTCTGATTTTCTGTATCTTCTTGAATCAGGTTCATCAGTTTTGTTTTAAGATTTTGTTTAATCATGAGAGACACAGAGAGAGAAGCAGAGACACAGGCAGAGGGAGAAGCAGGCTCCATGCAGGGAGCCCGATGTGGGACTCGATCCCAGGACCCCAGGATCACACCCTGGGCCAAAGGCAGGCGCCAAACCGCTGAGCCACCCAGGCTGCCCTCCTTAAACATTTTAAATGACTGAATTAAAAGTCTTTGCATAATAAGATGAATGCTTGGGCTTCCTCAAGGATGGTTTCTACTGATTGCCTTTTCCCTTCATATGCCATACTTTCCTTTTTCTTTCCATGTCCAATAGTTTGTGTTGAAAATTGGAAAAATCTAATATGATGGGGCAACTTTGAAAACCAGATACTCTATCCTCTCCAGGATTATTATTTTCTGAAACCATACTGTAAAGCCTTTATTCTTTGATGCGTGTGACCACTGAAGTCTCTATTACTTTAGTGATCAACTAATGATTGAACAGATTTCTTTAAACACTTGGATCAATAAGTCTCCCAGTTTTTGCCAAGGGACTCTGTGTATGGGTGTGTGTGTTGAGCATGCCAGGGAGTCTTGTGTAGATCCTCCTGGTCATATAGAGGTAAAAACTGAGGGAATTCAGGGTGCCTAGGTGGCTCAGTTGGTTATGTATATATGACTCTTGTTTTCAGTTCAGGTCTTGATCTCAGAGTTGTGAGTTCAAGCCCCACGTTGGGCTCCGTGCTGGGCATGCAGCCAACTTAAAAAGAAAAAAAAAAAAAAAAGATGGGAAATTCAGGTCTCCCCAGGCATGCACACAGCCCCTTCCATGTGTGGCCTTCTATATTTTTCAGAAACTTTTCAAAACTTCCAATGGACATCTCATTCCCCATCTTTTCCTAAGTTTTTTTTTTTTTTTAATTTGTGAAAGTACAAACATATGGAATGCTTCATGAATTTTCGTGTCATCCTTGCGCAGGGGCCATGCTAATCTTCTCTGTATTGTTCTAATTCTAGTATATATGCTGCCGAAGGGAGCACTTTTCCTAAGTTTTTTTAGACAGCTTGTTTTTTGTTCCAACTCATAGCCATCTCAGGAAGTTGAGGTATTAAACAATTGCTAGTGATTATTTTTAACAAACTCACCTAGGGAAAAGGTTGTTCACACTGGGCACACTTTGAGAGCTGTTAAAGACAAGCCCTGGGATGCCTGGGTGGCTCAATGGTTGCGTATCTGCCTTTAGCTTAGGGTGTGATCCCCGTTCGGGGATCGAGTTCCATATCAGGCTCCCTGTGAGGAGCCTGCTTCTCCCTCTGCCTGTGTCTCTGCCTCTCTGTGTCCCTCATTAATAAATAAATAAAAATCTTAAAAAAAAAATACAAGCCCTGAGAGGAGGACTTACATGGAACCTCCAGACAGGTCAAATGACAATTCACTGGGAATGGGGCTTTTTGGAGGAATCCAACCTCACTCTGTACCCTCCTGTTGTTGTTAGACTCCTGGGTTTTACCATAATTATGGGGCTTTTCTTTTCCAAAGTTTCTGTGGAGCTAGGAAAAGGGAGATGAAAATAGGGTGAATTAAAATATCACAAAACTTACTGTCCTTACCAAGGTGGAACTATTTTTTCTTTAATAAATGTTTCTGGACTGTTGCAAGTCTTTGGTTAATTTCCATTTTTGTCAGTGTTTCCACTGCTTTCATGGAGAGGATTTTCAGAGGTTTTACCCTGCTATTCTTACTGATACCCTCATGTGAATTTGCTTGCAGCAATCAAGCTGTGTCACCAAATATCCTATGAAACAGGGGCTTATTTTCTTTGCCCTTAGGGATGCTTTGGGGGAGACATCTTTAAAATATCACTGGACCTCCGAGGTTATGGGATAACTTCAGGTTCTTTAAGGAGAAGGGGGCAGCAGCAGGACCAGCCTCTTAAGAGAAGTCCTCTAAAAGCTATAAACCTCTCCACTCTCAGGATCTTATATAGATTCCTGCTTGGGTCCATGTCTGCTCATCCCTGCACCCTGCCCTCGCAATCTACACTGAGTCTGGTAGGTGTGTGTCATATCATATCAGAAACCTGTCTGGAGTGCTTAAGCCAGGGCTTCTATTTGTGGAAGGCTTTGTGTCTGTGCTAGAAGTTATGTTTATGGAGTGATAGCAGCCATACCTGGCAAAGAAGTCCAAAGCACCCAGCATCATCACACAGGAAGTTACAAGTTAACTACAGTTTACATAAATGACACTAAATGCCTGAGGCGTGTGAGACTTACAGATATTTATATACCTGGCCTTAGTGAACTCTTAAGACTTCATGGCCTTCTGGCTGATTGTAGAATCATTTCAGAAGCCCCTCTACCTTCTCCCTATGTTTGAAGCACACATAATGCTTTCTCACAACTATGGGTCTCACCTGACCATCTGTATCATGATTCAGACAATACACAAGACATGTAAGATGGACTGGATTTTGGCAGCTGAAATTGTTCAAATGCTTACCTTAGAGGAGCTCATCACAGTTTCAAAGGACAATCTGTCGGCTTATGTATTGAGTAATATGCTACGTCAGCAAACAATGGCCACATCTGGCTTGTGTTTGGCCTCTGAACGAAGTTTTTTTTTTTTTTTTTAAGTGTTGGTTTAAAAAAAAAGAATATGCAACAAAGAACATGTTTGGTTTGCAAAGCCAGTATTTACTAATCTGATCCTTTATGGAAAAAGCCTAACTACCTCTCAGTAACAGAATCATGGATTTAAGTAACCAGTGATATCCTAGGACAGTCAACCACCATGATGAGATGACAGAACCAAAGGGCACAAAAAAACTTGAAATATTACTTTAATGCTCTGGGCATTTTCAACATTCATAAAATCACCTTATTTCAGAGGTCATCTCCTCTTAGGTACAGATTCTGTGTCCAGGATCAGAGACAAGGGTATCACTGAATTTTCTCCACAGGACCCACATGCTGCAGGGGACCTACTCTGGCACCTTGTCTTCTCTAGCAGAGTCCCCACCACACCCACAACAGGGCTTGATCCACACCTGCTTGCCACAATGTTGGCTGTCAATGAAAACACACTCTGTAGCTTCACTGCTGCTTGCAGATTCTGTGGATCCCATACATTTCCAACACTACCAGATATTCCAAGTCTGTGATCATTATCCTGAGGCGCTAGTGAAACAGCAAGTCAGCCAGTGAGTATGCCAGAACCTGTTCCACTGTATCATACAGACACTGAGGCACTTCAATGTTCTGGGTAAAATTGAGTTTATAATTACCACAGGAGTTAAGAGCGAGGGAAGGAGTTTTCTCTCAATAATTCATAACCTTAACATATACTTAGCAGATTTATACATTCCTGTCTGTTTACATTTGTTGTCAAGGCTTCACAAACTGTTGAAGTCAATGAGAGTACATTTGAGTTTACAAATGCTGGGACAAGAAGCAAAGAGAGAACATGCTTTAGACAGTAGTTGCTTGTATCCTGAAAATGTAGGTCAACACATTGACCAACAACCCGGTCATTCTTAAAGAAATGCCTGTCCTTCCAAAAAGAACTTTTTTAAAAAAAGCCCTAGGCCTTATTTGATTATTCTCAGGTAGTAATGTGTTTGTCCTTTCTTCTCAAGCAGTGGTTCAAGGCATCTCAAAGCATACTGACACCTGAGGTTCTGATTTAATTGGTCAGAGGTGGGAGAGAGGGAGGGTGGTGAAACTAACATTTTTCAAAAGCTTCCCAAGTGATTCCAGCATAAAGTCAGCACTGAGAACCTTGGTACCACAGGTTCTCGAGTCTTCCTAATCTTACCTGTCCTCACTAAAAGTCCTTGAGGTAGTCCCCAGGCAACGATCTCTTCCATGAGATCAAAAACTAAGGCACAGAGAGGTTAACAGGTTCATCTCACACTGTGCGGCCAAATGATGGGACCAATATAGGAATTAACATCTCTAAATAAACAACACCTCCGCCCCCTCAATGGGCGACACATCGGCAGACTGCATATATAAAGACTAACTGAGGAGGAAGGAATGATCATCTGTGCCCAAGGTATCATGGAAGGGTGTGGACACAGTTCTGAGCCAACCATCCCAATCGAAAATAAATGCGTAAAATAGATACTTAATTGAAAGCATGTGAGGAATGAAGTACAACTTTCTTTCTAAAGCCTTACTTCCCTCACATATATGCTATTGATTTGTTTCTTAAAAAATCCATCAAGATCCATGGGCTTGCAAATCTAAATTTAGTTCTGTCATTGTAAGAGTTGGAAAACTCTCAAATGTCCCTTTAAATTAGGTCCAAAAGGTCATTACAAATCTGCATTCACATGTGATAGCATGATAAAAACTTCCATGCTTTTCCCATCAACAGTCCACAGAGACTTCCCAAGGACTCAGTATCTTAATACTTTCTAAATGGGTCATGATCTGCTCAAAGTCCCCAAAGACTAATCCAATAGTGCTGGACCTCCAAGATTGACTTTCACTGCTGACTGTTTTATTTTGCTCTGGACACAAACTTTATCATCTGTATTCTGGGTAACCATCAGGCCTTTTATTTTGTAATTCCAAATTTGCAGAAGAGCCAAGCCAGTTGGGCCTTTCTCCTTTACCCTGACATTATGTCATCACATCCTACACCCACTGCTGCATCTATTAAATACTCCTTATTTCTTTCTTCACTGTGAGCTCCCACATCTCATCATGTTTGAGGAGGCATTGCTCTTTTCTCTTTTTAAAAATGTTTCCACAATGGCAGAACTGTTGTTTGGTGCCACACAGAAATAACAATGGAGCACACACATACACAAAGGAAGAACACAGCAGGTACTGGACAGGAGGCCTGTGGTGGTTCCCAGGACCCTCTAAGAAGGACCTGTTCATTCAGCTCACGCTGAACACAAGAAGCATCTTGTTCTTCCCATGGCTAGTGATGTAACCTCCTGAAAAATCTGCAGAATGTTTGACCAGCAAGTGGAAATTACACCTAACAGGACACATTAGTTGACTTACAAGATGCTATGTGGAGCTCTGAAACCACATCTTTTCCATTTTAGGAGACTCTCCCATTTGGGCTAGACATACACTCATTTAGACCCTTGCCCTGATGTTAAGAGGCACAAGCAGGCAGAGAATCCTCCCTGGAACAAAACCTGCCCTTCCAGCTCCCACGGAAGATGTTTCGAGAGCAAGAAAATGGAGGAAAGCTACCTGTGCCTGGGGCAGTGCCACCTAGTGGTGGTGATGGTGGTGGTGGTGTGTGTGTGTGTAATTCTACTCCTGCCCCAGACAGGGGTTTTTACAAAGTTTAAGACAACAACAAAAAAAAGGGAACTTTGCAAAAGTGCATGTAGAATTCTGGTTAAAATAAAGATAACTGAGAATCATATTTCAAAGACCCACCACACCCAACTATTAAGTAAAGCAAGACATTGAGTTTTTTCTCTCTCATGCTTATTTGATGCTTATGGGTTTGTGGCAGACTTGCTGCTTGGTTTCTAAAACATGCACAGAGCAGATCGAGAGCAGCATTTGCCGTTTCGGTGCCCAGCCCACATCAACCCTGATGGGTGACTGATCAAACGCCATCAGAAACATGATGAGGAAATCCCCCTCCGCTGTGAGGTGGTGCCCAGCATGAAACCAAGGACTGTTGGTGCATGCTTGTCCGGACTTTTCTGGGCAGGGTGTTGTGGAGAGGGATGGGCAGGGAAACACTGGCAACCTCCCAAATTCTATAATATCCAATGCCTGTCCCAGACGGAAGGGTTGCAGCTGGGCATAGAGCTAAGGCACTAAGGCTGTAGCAGGTGGAAAGACACCAACCAAAGGTCCGACAGTCTCAACCCCCAGGGAGGAAAGGCGCTGCTCACAATGCTGCCTTAGGATAAAAATTGGATTTTTTGAAGGATAAGAACATAAAATACTCAAATCCCTGTCTTTTCCCCTTAGAAGAATATTTTACTCCCCCCTCAGAGAAATTTGCTTCAGTTTTCACATCTTAATAGCAATGCTGAGAGCGCCACCTGGGAACCCCTGAGCAACCACTCTTTGGGGAAGGTGCCTTTTCCTCTCGTGTTCTCTCTTCTACTGTGTTCTCTCTTCTACCGTGGCTCTGCAGGTTGCTTCTCTTTCTCCAGTCCTGGCTTGGTAGTGAGCAATCCTGACCTTTCACCTTCCCCTGGACCAGGAGCTCGTGGTTCTTCTGAGGCAGCTCTGAGCACCTCCCTCGGTCACAGCTTGATGAACGCAGCCGGCTGGATGTGCTGCGGCTCCACATCTGGGGGTGGGAAGACACTGGATATGGCAATGTCCACGATGCCCTGGCACAGTTCTGCATAAAGCCTCCTGAAATGTTTTTCAAAAAACATCACTGACAATGTTCATCAAAGTACATGTGAAAAGTCAGTTTTTTTTTCACCAGGACCTGCCCTAGATATTCCATCTCATGACCAAATTTATAAAATTGGTTTCCATGCTACGTACAAAAGCTGCATGAAGATCAAGCATCACCTTAACAAATATTTCTCAAAGGTCTCAGGTGAATAGACAACTTCTGCTCTCACTGGCAGAGAAGAGGGGCAATTTCAATAGAGTGTAAGAGCCATCTTGCCTGTCTGTGGTGGGTATACTTGGAGGGAAAGCACCTTCTCATTGTGGCTGAGGAGATTCTAGGAAAGGCTCTCAAGGGGTGACAAATAAGCTGAGACCTGGAGAATGAGTGAAGTGGATGACAAGACAGTAGTAGATGACAGGGTAGAAAAGAGGACAGAGAGGAGAGACAGACCCAGGAGATAGAAGGAGGGGAAAGAGGAAAAGGAGGAGAAGAGAAAGAGAGTATGTGTTGGGGGAGGGGGAGAAGAGGGGTTCCACCAATGGAAGGAGCAGAGAACACTGAGAATGGATTTATTTTTATTTTTTGGATTTTTTAAAAAAGATTTTTATTTATTCATGAGAGATACAGAGAGAGAGAGAGAAGCAGAGACACAGGCAGAAGGAGAAGCAGGTTCCATGCAGGGAGCCCGATGTGGGACTCGATCTCGGGACTCCAGGATCACGCCCTGGGCAGAAGGCAGGCGCTAAACCGCTGAGCCACCCAGGGATCCCCGAGAGTGGATTTTATTGGAGCAGGAGCATCCCCATTAGAAGGCTTTCTGCAAAAGCCTCCACATTGGGGGTGGACAGTAGAGGACTGCTAAGGCTGGAGGACAAGGTCCCAATGGACAGAACTTGAGGGTAATGGAAAGGAGGAGGCTGGATCTTGGTCAGAAGTCCAGCTTGGATTCTGTGGGGAAGGGAGGTGGACATTCACAGGGATGGGAGAGTCTGGGGCAGGGGGTGCCTCTCAGACATCCACAGACATCCTTGCAGGACACTGGGCAGGCAGGTGCACACACTGGTCTGGAACTCTGGACTGTGATGCAATTTGGTGGTCTTAAAATTATGAAGTTGAATAAGATCACATTCAGAGAAAGTGCAGGGGAGAGAGAAGACAACACCCAGGACTGAGGCACTGACACAGGTCCACTGATGAGGAACAAGAAGCCAACCTTGCCCACATTTCCTCAGTCAAAACTTCCCAGTACAGATTGTGCCTGAAGCCATGATAGAAGTGCATCTCAGCAAGGTGTGAGCAGCTGCCTCAAAGGCTGTTGAGAGGTGGGATGTCCACACAGAAAGGGGCCACTGGACTTGGCAATATGGACTTGGGTGGGGACCTTCAAAGAACAATTTCTATTGGGGGGAGGGGATGGTATACAGCCCAGAATGGACCGCAGTACAGGTGAGAAGAGAGGAAGAGAAGACAGCCTGAGTAGACACTGCTTTCCAGAAGTTTGTCTGTGACAGGAGCAAGAAGAAGGAGTCACCAGAGCAGGATGAGGCTTCAAGGGAGGGCTCTTTTTTAACAGATGGGGAGATCTGCTGCATATGCACATGCTGATGGAAACCATATCCCAAAGAGGGGGAGAAGGTGATACTGTGAATGAGAAAGACAAAGAGACATGGGACAGGGTAAGGAGGGGATAGGGTATAGAACACAAGGAAGGACTGAACCTTTATTGGAAGGACAAGGGAAAACAGGCATATTGCTGTGGATTTGGTGAATGGAAGATGTGAGCCATCCTGTTCTCCTCTTTGCTTCAGGTGGCTTACCTCTCCTTCTTCCATCCCACTCAGTTCCAAACACCACCCCTCAATAGCAGCCCTTTGCTCAATGATATTATCTTTAGCATCCTTTATCAAAGATAAAGCATGTCCCAGTTTGTGACCCAGGCCCCATTATGGGGCCTCGCAGGTTGGGAGTACTAAGAGTACTGGTTAGCTGAAAGGACTGCCAAACAAGAATAATCACACCTGCCATGTTGTGGCCATGGAGCAGGTGGCAAAGGCCTGGCTCCTAATGAAAGAGCTACTTGTATGTTAACACTGCCCCTTATAGGTCCAGGACTTTCTCCTGAAACGTGGAAGATACCTCAACTCCTCTAAGACATGGATGTGTGAAACCTGAAGGGTCTTGACCTGATGAAAACCATCTTTAGAAGAACCAGCAGCATTTAAGGATCTTACATCTAAGGCCTCCATGATGCTTCTGAGGGTACGTTCTGTTCATCTGTGCATCTCCCACAGAGCCTGGCACAGGGCATAGTCCCACTAGATGCTACATCCCCCTTTTCGCCCTTTTGAAGGCTCTCCTCCCCTCCTCTCCATGGTATATGTGACACTCTTCTCTCTATCCTAGTTCTAGCTCCACTGTGTCTACAACGCCTTCTCAGAATACTTCCTGCCTGAGGAGGCCCTCAATTTCTTGGTTATCAGTGTCCCCTCTCCCCTCTCCCAAACTCACAGGACCTCCATTCCCTGAACTGGTCACACAAAAGGGTCTCCTCTGACAGTTATTAGCTTTGCTTGAAACCCTCATTCATAGCACCTACCTGAGTACAGACTACTACTGCTCAACACACATGGGGGAATTGGGAAGGACTGACCCAGGAAGCCCCCCTGCTAGCCAGGGTCCTGCCAAAGGACATCACCCTAACAACAGTTAAACAGTCTAATGCTTGAACACTCTGGTAATGGGAGCTCACCACCTTGCCAAGACAGACTATCCAACTGTGGAACCAACTTCCCATTTGTTAAAACACAGTGATGTTCAGGCTTACTGAGCACAAGCAGGGGCGCCATTGACCTCAATGAGCCAGACCTTCAGCGTCTCATCCACCATGAAGTCGAAGCCAAAGAGCTGGAAGCTCTGGTAAGGGAGGTACCTGGTGCTGATGGCAGGCTCCACACTCATGAGGCAGCTTCTGCAGGGCAAAGGAAGAGAGCTCACTGAGAGTGGGTTGGTTGAAGCAGAAGGAACATGGAAAATGTGCTTGGCTGATTTTATATCAAAAGTGATGATAAAATATCCACTTGGACTTAATTATCTCTTTTATTTATTATATTGTATTTAAGATTTTATTTTGAAGTATCTCTACCAATGTAGGGCTCAAACTCACAACCCAGAGATCAAGAGTTGCAAGCTCTACCAACTGAGCCAGCCAAGTGCCCCAATTCTCTTTCAAATTTGTTACTAATAGGGGTACCTGGGTGGCTCAGTCAGTTAAGCATCTGCCTTCTGCTGGGGTGTGATCCTGGGGATCCAGCCTCCATCAGGCTCCCTACTCTGCAGGGAGCCTGCTTCTCCCTCTCCTTCTGCCCCTCCCCCTGCTTGTGTTCTCTTTCAAATAAATACATAACATCTTTTAAAAATGTATCACCAAATAGAGTATTTAAGACAATGTTATTTATGAAGCTATTTGTTACAAAACTCTGTAAACACTCATGTTCTTACAAGTAGGGCCTGCTTTCCCAGCACAGGGCTAAGTCACCACAGCCCTTGGAAAGGTGGATTCTTCCAATAGGAGGCTGCACCATGTTTGTAATAAATAAAACACTCCCATGCATTGTTGCCATATAAAAGAAATGGACTACCATTTGGTGAAGAGTAGAATTTGCAGTGAAGTTGGCCTAATCGATTGCTTTGCTTTCATTAGCTCCAGTTCTAATGCCAAATTATTATTAATTAAAAGATTTAAATATTGAAATACAAAATAGAATTGTTAGTAACCTCAACTACCATTCAAAAAATGGGGAAGAAACACAAAAAAACTGAAAACACAAAAAAGTTGAAAATGAACCTCAGAAACATATTGAGTTATTACATAAGATCTAAGGTCAGGGGCCTAAGACCAGAATCTTGGACAAGTTTTTTAACCTCTCTGAGCCAAGCTTTGATTTTTTTAAAAAAATATTTTATTTATTTATTCATGAGAGACACACACACAGAGAGGCAGAGACACAGGCAGAGGAAGAAGCAGGCTCCATGCAGGGAACCCAATGCGGGACTCGATCCCAGGACCCTGAGATCACAACGTGAGCTGAAGGCAGACACTCAACCACTGAGCCACCCAGGTGCCCCCAAGCTTTGCTTTCTTTATCCACAAAGGAAGAGGTAAAAATAATACCTAGTCCTAGTGCTGGGATGGTTCAATTAAATAATTACATAAATAACTTACTAGGGTACCTGGGTGGCTTAGTAGGTTGGGGGTCTGCCTTCAGCTCACGTCCTAATCCCAGGGTCCTGGGATCAAGCCCCATGTCAGGCTCCCTGCTTAGCAGGAAGTTTGCTTCTCTCTCTTCCTCTGCCCCTTGTCTCCTCCCACCACCCTGTTTATGCTCTCTCTCTTAACCTTACTACTTGATGGGATGAGCACTGGGTGTTATATGTTGCCAAATCTAACTCCAATAGAAAAATATATACGAAACAAACAAAAAAACCTTACTACTAATAAATCAGTTTTCTAGAATAACCATCCCAGAAAACCTCTGCCATTTCTGTTTTATAAAGATCTTTCCTGCCTTTTCCCCTCAAAAGAATGTTGGGGCAAAATATCTATTTCAGTAATAAAATATGTTGTAATGACTCTAAGATTACCAGAGATAGCTTTCCTCCTACACAACTGTATGTTTACAAGGAAAAATTAACGAACTAGCTTTCACGTGACTAACTCCAAGATGCACCCATACAGGTACGTTTTGACTCATGACTTTAAAGAATTGAGACCTCTCTGAAATTGGAGCCAGGATCTTGCTCCTCCAACCTACCCTCTACCGCTACACCCCCAGAAAGGAAAATATTTCTATGCATATGTTTAAACCTTTAAAAGTAATTTTGAGCAGTTAGCTATTTAAGAATCAATTGGAATAAAAATTTCTTCCCTCATTCACCTTTAACGTGAACTGGTAAGCCACATACCACTTTTTTTTTTAATAGCTTTATCTCTATGAGGAAATACCCTTAACTTTTGTTTTAATTAAAATACCCTTTCCGATATTATAATTTTTTTTAAAGATTTTACTTTTTTATTCATGAGAGATACAGAGAGAGAGAGGCAGAGACACAGGCAGAGGGAGAAGCAGGCTCCATGCAGGGAGCCCGATGTGGGACTCGACCCTGGGACTCCAGGATCATGCCCCGAGCCAAAGCCAGACGCTCAACTGCTGAGCCACGCAGGCGTCCCTCCAATATCATAATTAAGAAAACTTTTACACTTAATAGAGGCTCATGGAAAAAAAAAAGAGAGAGAAAAAAACCCTAACAAAGTGAAAGAAACACTATGTTCAAACACATAAAGGAAAAGCTGAGAGCCAGAAGCAAATAAAAATTAAATACTATTTTTTTACAGCTAGAAGCTCAAGATTAATAATACACTTTTTCAAGAATTTTTTTTCATCAGAGACTTTATACAGTACATCTTTTTTCGGCAGGAGTGGGAAGTTAGGGGGAGGCTAGCTGGGGAAAAAAAAACAAACCATGAGAGCTGTTAGGAGCATTTTTAGCACCAAAGCAGCAACACTGTCTGAACTGTACAGAACAATCAGGGAGGGGGGGACAAATACCCAATAAATCTTTTGCCTAAAATAGGAAATCTTTCTTCAGCATACTTGATTTATCCAATGTCAGAATTCTAAGCACCTACAATCCCTGAAGAAATGGGACTCTAATTATTCTGCCAGATTCTATGTAAGAATACATTAAGGAAAAAGTCTTAGTCATTGTGGTAATGTGGTAATGACAAAATGGATGACAGACTAACAGAACAGAATGGAGATTCCTAACATAAATGGCTACCTGATTTATAACAAAGGCTCACCAAAATGCAGTGGGAAAAGGCCAGCCTTTCACACAAATGGTCCTGGGTCAACAAGATGCCCCATAGAGAAACATGAAACCTGACATAGAACAATTCATAGATTATAGGTCTAAAATGTAAAAGATAGGAACGCTGGGTGGCTCAGTGGTTTAGTACCTGTCTTCAGCCCAGGGCATGATCCTAGAGTCCTGAGATCAAGTCCCACATCTCTGCCTGTGTCTCTGCCCCCCTCTCTCTCTCTCTGTGTCTCTCATGAATAAATAAATAATTTTTTTTAAAAAAAATGTAAAAGATAAAGACCAAGATGGCCATCAACTATAGAAGGATAAACCATGTAATAATCACACAAATATTGCACAGCAATAAAAAAGGAAATTACTGCCATATGCAACAATATGGATGAAACCCATAGATACAACTGTGAAAAAACATTGAACGTGAAACAGAAAATACAGTATAATTCCATTTATATAAAATGTAAGAGTAAGCAAAAGGAATCTATAGTCATGAAAGCCAGAAGAATGGCTATATGTGGCATGAAGTATATATTTTGAAGGAGTCCAACAGAGTATTGTGTGGTGCTGTAAATGTTTTATATCCGATTGTGTTATGATTAGCAAAGTGTATGCATAGTTAAAAGCTCACTACACTGTACACTTAAGATTTGGGGACTTCACCATATGCATGTTGTACCTCAATTTTTAAAAAAATCTCTATTGGATTTAATAAATTAATAATAACATAAAAATTATTTCCAGGCTTATTAGGAAACAGAACCAAGAAAAAAGAACAGACAATAGAAACAAGATCTGTAAAAGTCAAGGGGTGGCAAATTTTTTTCTACAAAGGATCAGACAGTAACTATTTTAGGTTTTGAAGGGCTACATGTGGTTTTTGTTACATATTCTTCTCTTTCTAAAAAACCTTTAAAAAATGTGGAAACTATTTTTAGCTCATGGTATATATGAAAACAAGCTTTAGGTTGGATTTGGCCCATACGCAGTTTACTAACCTCTACTACAAGTAATTTAGATTTCAGACTAATCAAATAAACATGTTAAAGAATTACCATTAACATGTTCAAGAAAATATAAGACAAGTGGGAGATTTCACAAGAGAACTATAAAAAGAGTGAAATGGAAATTCTAGAACTGAAAATTACAATACCTAAAATCAAGAATTCAACAGATGAGTTTAACAACAAATTTTAATGGTTTTCCTTTTTCCTTTTTAAACAGGTTTTAGTTACTGAAGTGAGAGATCAATGATACACAAAAACCATGGGAGAAATGTGAGACAGTGAAAGGACTGGTATCCAGAATCCCAGAGGAGAGAAGAATGGGACAAAATCCGTAAGTGAAAAAGACAGTGGTCGTGAGTATCCCAAAACGAATAAATGACCTGAAGCCACAGATTCAGGAAGCACTATGACACCTATGTAATGCAGGCCAGAAAACAATGGTAAGCCATCTTCGAAGGACTTTAAAAAAAAAAAAAGGAAAAAAAAGATTCTGCTGATCTAGAAATCTGTTTCCAAAGCAAGTGTCTTTTTTCTTTTTCTTAAGAGATTTTTATCCATTTATTTGACAGGGAGACAGAGAGAAAGTGAGCACAAGCTGGGGGAATGGCAGGCAGAGGGAGAGGGAGAAGTAGGCTCCCTGCTGAGCCAGGAGCCTAACATGGGGCTTGATCCCAAGACCCTGGAATCATGACCTGAGCTGAAGGCAGACGCTTAACCAACTGAACCACCCAGGCACCCAGCAAGTGTCTTTTTTTTTTTTTTTAAGATTTTATTTATTTGAGAGAGAGAGCGAGAGCGCGAGAGAGAGCTGGGGGAGGGACAGACACAGAGGGAGAGAGAATCTTAAGCAGACCCCCCCACTGAGCAGAGAGCCCAACACAGGGCTTGATCTCACAACCCTGGGATCATGACCTGAGCAGAAGGCAGAAGCTTAACTGACTGAGCACCTCTATTTTTAATCTTTTTAAGGCCACTTGCTTTGGGGTCACCTGGGTTGCTCAGCTGGTTAAGTGACCGACTTTTGATTTCACCTCAGGTCATGATCTCAGGGTTGTGAGGTCGAGCCCTACATTGGGTTCTGCACTCAGCTGGGAGTCTGTTTGAGATTTTCTCTCTCTCCCTCTTCCCCTGCTTATTCAACCCCCCAACATGTTCTGTCTTAAAAAAAAAAAAAAAAAGAATAAGGAAACTTATCCTAGACAAAATCAAGAAAATATATGAAACTTCAAAGAGAAGCAACATGAAGGGTAAAAATGTATGGGGAAATCTAAATGAATGTTAACTATATAATAACAATAATAATAATGTCTTGTGAGTTTACAACATAGGTAGCATTAATAACACCCATGGACCCATAATCCAATTCCATTAAGCCCCTTTCTTGGGTCCCTCCTGTTTCCACTTCAAAAATAACCACTATTTTGAATTTTTTGTTTTTCATACCTTCAGTTCTCTATTTTTATCATATATGGACATTCCTCTAAATAGTTTATTTAGTTCTGCTTGTTTTTCAATTTATATGAACAGAATCAATCTATATACAGCTTGTAAAAAGCTTATATTTTTTGTAATTTTTGCTTGACATTATTATGTTTGTGTAACACCAGTGAAAATATCCTTCAGGAATAAGGTGAGATAAAGACATTCTCAGATGACAGAAAATCAAGAGGAGTTATTATCTATAGAACTACTCTACAAGAAATGCTAAAATCTGAAGGGAAATAATACCAGAGAAACTTGGAACATTAGGACTGATGGAAGAGAATTAAAAAGGGCAAGTATTTGGGTAAATAAAAAAACAGTATTTTTCTCTTTTTATATTGAACTCGAGTTTCTTGTAGGCAGCCTACCATTTGGTCTTGTATTTTTTTTTAAAATCCAACTGGATTGTCATATATATAAAAAATATATACGACTATTGATAGCAAAAATTATAACATTATGCCGTAAAGATTTCAGTGTTTATGAATGTAATATACACCACAACTATAGAGAGTTAAATGAACCATAAAGTTGTAAGTTTTCTGCATTTTATTTGAAGTGGTGAATTATTAACTCTAGGAAGGCTGTGAAATACATACTAGGTATATAAATCATAATCCCTAGAGTAACCATTAAAAAGAGAAAGGGAGCCAAATACTCAGTAGAAAAATTAAAATGGAACTCTAAATTTAAATAATTTTTAAAAGGCAGGAAATGGGAAAATAAAAAACAAAACCAGAGGGGGCAGATAGCAAATAATAAAATAGTACACATATATCCAACCAAACCAATAATTAAATTTAAATGATAAAGACACACCAATCAGAAAGGTAGAGATTGCCATACTAGATGTTTTGTTATACAAAACAAAAACAAAGCCTAACTATATGCTATCCACCAGAAGCCCACTTTATTATTTTTTTAAGATTTTATTTATTCATGAGAGACAGACAGGGAGAGATAGAGAGAAAAAGAGAGAGAGAGAGAGAGAGAGAGAGAGAGAGAGAGGCAGAGACACAGGCAGAGGGAGAAGCAGGCTCCATGCGGGACTCAATCCTGGGACTCCAGGATCATGCCCTGAGCCAAAGCCAGATGCTCAACTGCTGAGTCACCCAGGGATTCCCCCATAATGGAATTAAAGTAAAAATCAGTAATAAGAAAACATCTGGAAAATCCCCAAATATTTGGAAATTAAGCAAAAATTTCTAAATAATACAAAGATGAAGTTACAAGAAAAACTAGAAAATATTTTAGTAAAATGGAAATGAAAACATAGCAAAACTTTTGGGATGCAGCAAGTGAGTGCTTAGAGGGAAACTGACAGCATTAAATGCATTTAAAAAATGAAATCTTTTTGGTGCCTAAGTGGCTCACTTGGTTAGGCATCTGCCTTTGGCTCAGGTCATGATCCCCGGGATCGAGCCACAAATTGGGATCTCTGCTTGACAGGAAGTCTGCTTCTCCTCTACTCCTTGCCCTGCTCATGCTCTCTCTCTCTCAAATGAATAAGTAAAATCTTAAAAAAAAAAAAATGAAATCTTTCAAATCAATGATGTAACTTTTCACCTTAAGGAAACTAGAAAACAAATTAAACCCCTCAAAAAAGCAGAAGGAAAGAAGTAATAAGGAAGAAATAAAAACAACAAAAAAATCAATAAAACCAAGTTTTTAAAAAGATTAATTAATAATATTGATAGACCCCCTAGCCAATCTGTCCCAATAAAATAGAGAGAAAATATAAATTACCAATATAAGGAATGCAAGCAGGGACATCATTACAGAATCTATAGATACTGAAAGGATAATAAAGGAATATTACAGGTAATTTTTGTCCTTAAAACAGACAGCTTAAATGGAATAATTCCTTGAAAGGCACAAACTCCCAAAGCTTCAAGACATATAACCAAAAAAGATACAATTAAGTTACCTTATTATATGTTTAATTTGTAGTAAAATACTACTTTCCAAGGTAATGTTCAAAGCACTTATAAGGTACTGATTGAACTCCTCAAAGAACATTTCGTTCCCTTCTTCATACTTTCCATAGTTCTTTGAGTACTCCTTTTGAATGCAATGATTGGTCAAATGGCAGGTTTTGTCTTGGAAATTATCAACATGATATGGTTCTGAAGCAGTCCGAAGCACACCCTCTTTATAGAGGTAGATATTATACTGATGATCCACCAAGACCCAGCTTCTGCAAGTCAATAAAAACAGTTTCACTCAAGTCATCCAAGGTTTCTCCATAGTATATACATCATCCCCACACCTTAACGTTTTTGGAGGGAAGTAGAAGGAGGTAGGTTCTAAAATTATATGAGGCAAGCCAGGACAATTAGCTAAAACAGCAGATTATCAATGTAATGAGGCAAATAAAACTTTACCATAAATGACAGGGAGTCCTTGATCTGTTTAAAAGATAGCATTTTGAAGAGATTTAGATGGGTTGAGTCCTAAGGTTTATCCATGAAACCTTCCATTTACCATGTTTGCTCTACTAGTAATCTTAAGAGGAAGATTATTCATCCTGAAGCTGATCTGACATAGGATTGGTGTTCAAGAAGCAAGCCATCATGAAGACATCAAGAAGACAGAGTCCTCAATGAAGAGATGTCAGCAAGGCCACAGGAAAGCTGGGGAGAGGGCTGTTTAGCTTTTGACAGCACGATACAACCTCTTACTCTCTGACAGGCCTTTTCCTCAGAAGGTTAAAATCCAAAATGGTGTATAAGGTGTTTATGAAATCCTTAAAAAATAGAGGCCTCAAATAATTAAGCAAGGGCATATTATTTGTCGTGTCTGGATAATGTGTTTTCTCTTCACCTCTCAGCTTCTTCCATAAGCAACCACCATACATTTATATCCTCCTCTTTGAAGCCACAAGTCATTTTGATTAAAGAGAACATACTAAAAAGGAAAATCCACAATTTTAGTAGTGTTTTCTAAAAAGAAAAGAGAAATACTGAAGGAAAAATACAAAATTAGATACAGAAGCTCAGTTCTATTCAGCTGTGCTCAATTTTGGCTACATATTAAACATGGTCAAATATCTCCTCACATTCCATGTTACCCTTATCACTCACCACTGCATTTTTCTCAGATTAGTAATAAAAACTCTGGACACTGATGCATTACCGAATGTCAAACTTGCGGTGACCTGGCTCCAGAAGCAGAGGGTGCTCAAGGTATTTCTGGATCACATGCACCTGACCCTGGTTGTCAATGAAATCCAGAAGCTCTGTAGCCTCCGAGGAGATGAGGATGCCTTCACCTAACAGAAAAAAATTGTCACAGAAATAAGTCCAGTTTGTCCCAAGGGGAAAAACTCTCTACAAAGCCCGAAGGGAAATACTGACAGCAGAAGGAAACTGAGAGGAGGCTTCTACTGGCCTGCTCACCCTTCTTCCTCCATCCCATCACTTCCTAAATCTCTCACATTCTCCCTTCTGTCCACAAGAGCACCAGGGCCATCTAACTCTTTTTCCAGGTAAGACTGTAAACATGACCTTGACAGGCTCCAACTATGGAATTTCATTTTTACAGATACTCAAAATATCCAAGCATCCTAAATAAATGCCACTTTACTGCTGGCCACTGGCTGCCCTGACAAAGACTTTAATAAACCCAGCTGTCACACTATAGCTTACAGAAATATCCAGAAAGTTAGGGCATAAACACAACTGTACAAGTCAATTCCCTACAGCATTGTAATAGGAAAAATTTGAAACATGTAAAGTACCCACAAACTTTAAGTAAATGATGCAATGTCCTTATCAACAGGTTTGAGATATATGTTACACACCATAAGATTTGCCCTTTTAAAGTATAAAATTCAATGGCTTTTCCTATATCTAAGAGATTTGCAACCACTACTAACAATTTCAGAACATTTTCATCATCTCCCAGCAAAAACCCGTAACTATTAGCAGTCTACTCCCCATTGCTTCCTTACCCTATACTGACAACCACGAATCTACTTTCTGTCTCTATGGATTTGCTTAGTCCAGATGATTCATGTAAATGGAATCATATAGTATGTTGCCTTGGTATCTGGCTTTTTCATCTAGCATAATATTCTCAAGGTTCATGTTGTAGCATATATTACTACTTCATTCTTTCTTTCCATTACTAGTTAATATCCCATTGTATGGATATACCATTTTTGTTCATCCATTCATCAATCAATGGAAATTTGAGTTTTTCCCACTGTTGTTTGGCTCTTACGAATAATGCTGCTAAAAAGATCTGCACAGGGGCAACCCGGGTGGCTCAGCGGTTTAGCGCCGCCTTCAGCCCAGGGCCTGATCCTGGGGACCTGGGATCGGGACCTGGGATCGGGTCCTGCGTCGGGCTCCCAGCGTGGGGCCTGTTTCTTCCTCTGCCTGTGTCTCTGCCTCTCTCCTTCTATATATATATCTCTCTCTCATGAATAAATAAATAAAATCTTTTTTAAAAAAAAGATCTGCACAGAAGTTTTTGTGTGGACAGGTTTTCAATTCTTTCGTGAATATATCTAGGAGTGGAATAGTTGGGTCATATGGCAATTCTACGTTTAACTTTTTGAGAAACTGCCAAATTGATTTCCAAAATGTCCACACCATTTTACATTCTCAACAATACATAAGTATTGTCCAATTTTTTCACATTCTTGCCAACACTTACTGTCTTCTTGATTATAGCTATCCCAGTGGGTGTGCAGTGGTCTCTCATTGTGGTTTGGATTTGCATTTTCCTAATGACTAACAATATTCTTCTTTCTTTCTTTCTTTCTTTCTTTCTTTCTTTCTTTCTTTCTTCTCTTTCTTTCTTTCTTTCTTTCTTCTTTCTTTCTTTCTCTCTTTCTTTCTTCTCTTTCTTTCTTCTTTCTTTCTTTCTTTCTTTCTTCTTTCTTTCTTCTTTCTCTTTCTTTCTTCTTTCTCTTCTTTCTTTCTTTCTTTCTTTCTTTCTTTCTTCTTTCTTTCTTTCTTTCTTTCTTTCTTTCTTTCTTTCTTTCTTTCTTTCTTTCTTTCTTTCTTTCTTTCTTTCTTTCTTTCTTTCTTTGAGACAGAGAGAGGTAGAGACACAGGCAGAGAGAGAAGCAGGCTCCATGCAGGGAGCCTGACGTGGGACTCGATCCCGGGTCTCCAGGATCATGCCCGGGGCTGAAGGCGGCGCTAAACCGCTGAGCCACCGGGGCTGCCCGTTCTTTTTCTTTTTTTTTTAAGATTTTTTAAATTTACTCATGACACAGAGAGAGAGACAGGCAGAGGGAGAAGCAGGCTCCGTGCAGGGAGCCCAACGTGGGACTCGATCCCGGGTCTCCAGGATCACACCCTGGGCTGAAGGTGGCACTAAACTGCTGGGCCATCAGGGCTGCCCATGACTAATAATATTGAGCATGTTTTCATATGCTTAATGGCTATTTGCATATCTTCTATGGAGAAATGTCTATTTAGGTTCTTTGTTTTTATCTTAATTAAGTTGTCCTTTTATTATTGAGTTATCAGAGTTCTTTACACATTCTGGATACAGGTGTCTTATAAGATACATGATTTGCAAATATATACTCCCATCTTGAACAGTTCCATTATAATGGATCCCTCAGTGTTGCTATTTTTATTTTTTTTATTTTTAAAGATTTTATTTACTCATGAGAGACAGAGAGAGGCAGAAACATAGGCAAAGGGAGAAACAGGTTCCCTATGAGGAGCCTGATGTGGGACTCCATCCCAGGACCTCAGGATCATGACCTGAGCCATAGGCAGAAGCTCAACCACTGAGCCACCCAGGTGCCCCAGTGTTGTTCTTTTCAAGTCACAACTACTCCCTCCCCATAACATCCTCCTGACAATTACTCATCTATTCTCTATTTCCATAGTTTTGTTATTTCAGGAATTTTATATAAACAGAATTATACAGTATGTGATCTTTGGGGATTGGTTTCTTTCACTTGGCATGACTCTGGAGATTTCATCCAAGTTGTTGTATATATCAATAGTTCATTCCCTTTTATTGTTCAGGAGTATTCCATAGTATTGATTTGGCTTAATTACTCAGCTTCTGAAGGAATCTGAGTTGTTTCCAGTTTGGGGCTACTACAGATAAAGCTGTTATGAACAATCAAGTGCAAGTTTTTGCATAGACATAAGTCTTCATTTTTCTGAGACAAATGCCCAGGTGTGTGCAATTGCTTAGTAGTTACAGGTTTAGCTTAATGAGAAATTACAAGACTTTTTTTCCAGAATAAAATGTACCATTTTACATTCCCACTAATACCGTCAGATTGATCTAGTTTCTCATGACTCTTGCAGCATTTGCTGTCATTACCATTTCTTGTTTTAGCCATTTTAATAGGAGCGTTGTGGTTCTAATTTGCATTTCCTTAATGATTAATTAAAAATCTTTTCATTTGCTTATTTTTTATCTGTAGAATCTTTCAATGCATTCACATGTCTTCTGCCTTTCTAACTTGATTGTTTTTTTTTTAACTGTTGAGTTTTTGAAGTTTTTTATATATTATATAAAGTCTTTTATCAGGTATGTGTTTGAAGGTATTTTCTCCAAGCCTGTAGCTTGTACATTCAGCCTCTTTAATAGAGTCTTTCTTTTTTTTTTTTTAAGATTTATTTATTTATTCATGAGAGACACAGAGAGAGGGGCAGAGACCTAGGCAGAGGGAGAAGCAGGCTCCATGCAGGAAGCCTAATGTAGAACTCGATCCCGGGACTCTGGAATCATGCTCTGAGTGAAAGGCAGACTCTCAACCACTAAGCCACCCAGGCATCCCTTTAATAGAGTCTTACATAGGAAAAAAAAAAATCCTCATTGTTGAGGTTTGACTTATCAGCTTTTACTCTTATGGTCATATATGTGATACCAAGTTTAAGAATACTTTGCCTTAGTTTTATATTTTAAGTCCAAAACCCATCTTGAGTTAGTTTTTGCCTAATGTAAGGTTAACGTTGAAGTTCAGTTGTTTTTATCTATGGACATTCACTTGCTCCAGCCCCATTTGTTGAAAAGTCTGTCCTTCTATTGTTTTGTACCTTTGTCAAAAATCAGTAGTTATATATGTGGGGTCTATTTCTGAGTTCTTGCTTCTATAGATTTATGTTTCTGTCCCCCTACCAATACTGCAGGGTAGTGACTACTGTAGCTATATAGAGTATGCTTTAATATGAGGTACAGTGATTACTCCCAAGTGATTCTTCTTTTTCAAAATTGTTTAAGCTATTCTAGGGCTTGTACCTTTCCATATGAATTTTAGAAGAAGCTTCAGGTCTGTACAAAAATCTGATTGAGGTCTTGACAGCAGTTGTATTAGGCCTATAGACCAATTTGGGGGTGAACTGACATCTTTACTATGTTGAGTCTTGCAATCCATGAATATGGTATGTCTGTCCAATTACTTAGGTCTTTTTCGACCTCCTTCACAGTTGATTTGTAATCTTCAGCATTAAGATCCTATACGTGTTTGCTAAGTTTATACCTAAGCATCTCATTTTCTTTGGGGTGACTATTAAATGGTATTGTTTATACCTTTAGTTACAATATATTCATTGTTAATATACAGAAATGCAATCGATTTTTGTGTGATCTCATATCGTGCAACCTTCCTGAACTCAGTTTCTTAGTTCTAGGACCTCCCACCTATGCTTTAGATTTCTAGCTCATCTCTATTTGGGTCTCATGCTTTCAGTACAAATTAATTTGTTACTTAATTTAATGATTCAATTTTCCTAAAACCCAGCCCCTTTCTCAACTATCTCATTTCTGTCACTTGCTCTACCATGTGGTTATCTCTTAAACAAGAAACTGCAAATCAACTTGGAGAAGCTCCTTCCTCTCTTTTTGTAGGAAGAGGATTCTTTCTGTCTCATCTCCCTCAGGAACCACTCTCAGATATCCTGGTTCCTCTTTATTTCCACTTGCTAATTTTTTAATACAGACCTTAGTTTCTCTTCCTTTTCACTTCCAAAATAGTTATCCTAAAACACCCCTTCCTACTAATGCCCTAGAACTGTACCACCTTTGATGCATTGCTCTCCATAATCTGTTCACATTCTCTCCTATTTGCTCTAACTTTATTTCCTTTATGCTATTTCCTTATGTACACTATTATTGAAAATATACCTAATGCTGATAGGTGGGGAAAATAATGGAAGTAGAAAGATACATCTCGATAACTTTAAAAACCTATTATCATTGAAAAAAGATATGGCATTAAAGTGAAATAGAAAAGTTACCTATAGTCTTATTTCCTAATATAATTATTTTTCTCTTTTAATATCACCTTCCTTTCCATAACGGCAAAGACTGGCTCATTCATAGTGAACTCACCGTATGTTGTCATTTTTTTCGTTTCTATGTTAACATCACAATGAAGTTAGCAGCTGAAAAAATATCTCATTGTATATATAATCCCAAAATTATATATTGTTTACTGACTGCTGGACAGTGGGTTTGTTTCTAAGTAATATGCTGCTGTTATAGGTCACATAGTAGTAAATGTCGTTGCTTTTAGAATATTTCCCTGGAGTTAATTTCATAGGAATGAGAGTAGTGGGCCAAAGCCTATGCACTCTTTATGGCTCTTCCTTTGTATTATCCTGTTGCTTTTTCAAAGGCGTGTATTACAACTAAGAGGAAGTAGTTCATAACAAACTTTCAGCAACAGTCACTGAAGGTCTTATTTGGTAGATATAAAATGATACATAAAATCTACATTCATTTTGTAAGTTTTGGATACAATGTAGCATGTTTCCATGTACTTCTTAACTGTATTTCTAATATTATTTCTTTAAATCTTCACTAACTTAACCTGAAGAAACTATAAGGAAACTCTGTAATTCTTTAAGGAGTTTCAAGGTGGTAAGTTTTTTTTGTTCTTTGTTCTCATCTCAACTATTTATCTGGAAATAGATGCATCACTAGCCTTCTTTCTGACTAGATTGGGTCCATGTGGGCAAGAGATCATGTCTGTTTTTTTTATCCCTGTATCTCCACTCATTACTTCATTCATTCATTCATCACTCAATACATATATTGAACTTTGGTGGGTTCCATGTGCTACCCTGGCACCAAGGAGACAGCACTGAACACAGATGTGACAAGGTCTGACTGTGCTTTAACAGGATCTCTGTCTGCTGTACCGTGTGTAGATTCTGGAAAATGGCCAAGAGCAGGAGGACAAGGAGCAATGCTCCAGGTGAGAGGTGAAGGTGGCCCAGATCCAAGACTGGTAGTGGAGGGGTGAACAGGGGGTCTTTATACGGGATATAGTGTGAAGAGCCAACTATTTCCAGCATGTGGTAGGTATTAAACACTTATTTAACAAGAATAAAAGCCATTTATTCATCCTATTGGTTTTATTTTATAGTTCCCAAACAAAACAAATGCATACCACTTAACTCCCTAGAGCAAAATTTCTTCATTTTTTTGGCATTTTATCCTTTTTTACCTCTCTCTAATGTTGATCATCAATCTGTCTTGGCAAAGGTTCAGACAACACCCAATGGAATCACTGCCATGACTGGACATGCCCTTCTCCAAGGACCTTGCCTTTCTCCTGGTTCTCACACCAGCTAAGGCTCCATGATACAAGGTGTTCTTACAATGGCCATCCTGACTCAAGCCCAAGTCCACAGAAGGAATATGGAATACTGTAAATATCTATTTCCTCTTCCAATTCCCCCATTTATCATTAGAACCAAACTAGGGGATAGTACTTGAGAAGAGGTCACAAGAGGGGAAAGAGAAGTAGGTGAGGTACCTGGCTTGTGGCAAGAGTCCAACTCTCCCACTTTCAGAAGATTCCAGGTGATGCCCCCTTGTCTCATGGTTGGTAGAAAAGAAGGTGAGGTCCACTGGACCGGGGATAGAAATGAGTACCAATGGCCAGATGGTCTTCCAAGGCAATAAAAGAAGAAGTAAGTTCAAAATAGAATGGTTTTAAAAGGAGCATATGATGGTAGCTATAGAGACAGACCATGTTTATGTGTTCATTACATTGGGAACTGCCTGTATTTTGAGCTTGAGTCAATATTATAAACCTCATTCCTTCTATGCATTCATTCAACACACATTTACTGAGTGCCTCTGGGGAGTGTAGAGATGAACAAGATAGAAAATCTGTGTTTACATGGAGCTTATGGTATGAGAGAGGAGACAGGCAGATAAACAAATATGTAATGTAAGTGCTAGGAAGAGGTTAGTGCAAGGAGGAAAAATAAAGCAGGGCAAAGGACAGAGAGCAATGGGCATAAAGTCTATTTTAGAAAAGAAAAGGCTTCTCTGACAAGACAATATTTGAGCTGAAATAGAAAATAATCCATAAAGACATTTGAGATACAAAGACAAATTTAGAGAATTTGTAGGACTCCAGGCAGGTGTGGCTCTAGAATAGTGAGGAAGGCCAAGAATAGGAGATGGGATCAGAGATAGGAGCAAATGTTAAATGGTATAAGCTACCAACAGCAATCTGGAGTTTATCTGAACTGCATTGGGAAGCCAGCTGGTAAGTCTTGAGCAGGGAGTAACATGATCAGATTTACAATTTTAGTCACTGCTCTGTCTTAGAAGGAGAACTAGCTCTGAGCAGACACAGCAATTACACAGACTAGAAAGAACAGTAGTTTTGACTTCAAGTGAGAGCAGTGGAAATGGCAAGAAAAGGTCTAATTCAGAATATATTTTAAAGGTAGAGCTAGCAAGATTTGCTGATGCATTAGGTATGTATTATAATGAAAAGAACAGTCAGGGATGAAGCCTAGGTTTGGGGCTTCAGAGACTAGGTGCAGAGTGGGATCACATACTATGTGGGAAGACTGAAAGAGGTAGGTTGGAGTGGGTTACATTGGGCAGGAAATGAGTCTATATCAGACACGTTACATTTGAAATTCCTGTCATACTGGATCTGGAGCTTAAAGGGAAATACTTTGGAGATATACATTTAGAAGTCATCATTACCTAGGTAAGTATTTAAAACTATGTAATTAGTCATGATCTCTACCTTTGAGGATTCAGATTAGAACAGTCACTCATCTAAAGATATCAGTGAATTCTAACACACAATTGAACAAACCCATGGGAACCTACAGGAAAGGAAGAAAGGGAGAGCAATGCCAACTTACCTTTGGCACCGGCTGATGACTTTGCAATCCAAACATTGCCCTCTCCCTCTTCTTTCTTTCTATTGTAAGAAGCCAGGAAGAACTCTCTTTCATCTGTCCTTGAGTTATGGATCGGTGGATGGATTCCATTCTGTGCTGGAGCAACTGGGGTCTTGAGATTAGTTGGATAAATCACATAGGACTCTGGAAACCATGTGCAGGACTCAGCCAGGTCTGGGCTTGTCTTGATTAGCCTGACAGATGACAGAGGGTCAGTTTCCCTTCTTAATTCACCCTACCACTCCATTCAGAAAAGTCAGTGCTGGGATCCCTGGGTGGCGCAGTGGTTTGGCGCCTGCCTTTGGCCCAGGGCGCGATCCTGGAGACCCGGGATCGAATCCCATGTCGGGCTCCCGGTGCATGGAGCCTGCTTCTCCCTCTGCCTGTGTCTCTGCCTCTCTCTCTCTGTGACTATCATAGGTAAATAAAAAAAAATTAGAAAAAAAACTGAACTCAGAAAAGTCAGTGCTTTCCCACAGAGCTTGTCAAGGAGGCAGGGCAATACCAGGGCCAGGAACTAGTGTTTGTGGGGGTTTTTGTTTTTGTTTTTTAAGTAAAGATTTTATTTACTGGGTGTCTGGGTGGCTCAGTCAGTTGTGCATCTGTCTGCCTTCAGCTCAGGTCATGATCTTGGGGTTTTGGGATCAAACCCCATATCAGGTTCCCCGCTCAGTGGAGAGTCTGCTTCTCCCTCTCCCTTTGCCCCAGCTCATGCTCTCTCTCTATCTTGCTCTCTCAGGTAAATAAATAAACTCTTTAAAAAAGTAAAATAAAAAAACATTTTCTTTATTTAGGAGCTGGTCTTTTTATCCCACTCTTTGCTCTTGGCCTCCTTGAGCTGACCTGTAATGTACTACTGGGCAGCACCCAGCTATTACATGCAACCCTAAAGCCACGCTCCAAGTAGTTATGAAAGAGCTTAATATACAGGATTTTAGCTCCTTTTAAAATACATTTCTAGGGACGCTGGGTGGCTCAGCGGTTGAGCGTCTGCCTTCAGCTCAACGCAGTGATCCTGGTCCCAGGATCAAGTCCCACTTGGGCGCCCTGCATGAAGCCTACTTCTCCCTCTGCCTGTGTCTCTGCCACTCCCTGTGTGTCTGTCATGAATAAATAAATAAAATCTAAAAGAAAAAAAATTTCTAAGGAAAATGAACTTGAAGTAATTCTGAGATAATACTTTTTCAATGTATATGTTGTGGTTGAGCTAGACCCAAGCAAAGAAAAAAAAAAAGTAGAGAACTTAGGAAATTATTTGGCTTACTAGAAAAAATACTATCTTGGCCCAACTCTCTGGAGAGCAAAGACTACTGCTTAGGAATCTCAATTATCTGAAGACTTATTTTAGTTCTTAATTTCTTGCTTTTAGCTCAACCTTATGTTAATGACAGATACAGGAGGAATCTAATGGGACACACGACCCCAGTGGTCATAACTAAACATCTCCTGCCCCCAAAATAATATAACATGATGGAAGATAAAGTCAGGCTGTAGGCAAGGCACTTAATAAACACAAGGGCTTATGAAGGGCTTCCCATTGCATTTTCCCTCCAATCAGACCTCCAGAGGGGGAGGTACTAGCATTCAGTTTCACAAATTAGCTACTGGGTCACAGAGAAATAAATTTCCCAAGATCATAAAGGTAGTAAAAAATAGCCCTTATGCAAGCTCCAAACTTCCAGTCCTCACTCAACATTTATTCTTACTCTGCAGGTCTCAGAGCCAGGAGGGAACTGATCCAAAGACATCTGCAGGCCTTCCCTAAGCTATGCTCCCTTCTCTATCTAGAACAGAATTATTCATGCTAAGCCTGTGTTAACCTGCAGAAACCAGTCTATGAACAAATGGCAGAAATAATGAAAAGAAATGTTTAACTGAGATTTATTTTTTAATTTTATTTTAAGATTTTATTTATTTAACAGAGAGAGAGAGAGCATGCTTGCATGCACAAGTATGGGGAGCAGCAGAGGGAGAGGGAGAAGATCTCCACTGAGCAAGTAGCCAGATGCAGGGCTTGATCCCAGGACCCCAGGATCTGACCTGAGCCAAAGGTGTAGACGCTCAACCAATAAGCCACCCAGGTGTCCCAAACTTTGATTAGTTTTGATGTAAAAACTGAGGTACTGTAAAATATTTTTCCATTAATCACAATTGTACTCTTTTGGTAGGATGACATTAACCACTACATGATCTAAGATATTTTTGTGGTACTGCGGCATGCATGTCAGGCGCGTATGTTTCTACTGTATACATAAACATATCACTGTTCTACTCAAAGACAATAGACTGATTCAGCTCAAGTGGCTTTATCTCCCATGCCCTGATGGAGCATTATATTGTGTTTATTACACAGACACCATGAGTTACAATGACAGCTATGTAAATCATAATTGGTAACTAATGTAAAATGTAACTATCTAGTTAAAAAGTAATTATGAACAAATTTTTAAATTTAAAACAAAGGCATACTACTGATGCTAAATGTTTTGTCAAGTTAATGTGATAGCTTCATTCCCTTTGAGTTTGTATATTATCCACATTTGCATTGCTAGGATTCCCTTATCAGCTCTAAACCTGACAACTACAGGAACACATCCTCCAGCACATTCCTAGTGCATAGAAAACACTCATTTAGCATGGTTTTGTTAGTATAAGATATTCCTCTCTCAGTTTTTTATTCTTCTTATTTTTTTTAAATCAAAGACTGATGCAGAATTGAGTGAGGATGCTAAAGCTAGAACTATGACTAAACAGTAAAGAAAAAAAAAGAACTGTCAGAAAGTATGTCAGAAATTTCATAATGAATGGCAATTGGAACTCGCTATAGCAGAGTAAAGTGAAAAAAAAAAGTTTACTGTACAAAGGAGGAATTTTCAGCAAATACATAATGAATTTCATAACCCGTTTCCTTCAACTACCAAAAGAAAACAAAAATAAAACAAAAGACTGAGAGAGGGAGATAAACCGAGGAACAGACTCTTAACTATAGAGAATAAACTGATGGTTACCAGAGGGAAGGGGGATGGGTTAAATAGGTGATGGGGTAATTAAGGAGTACACTTTCTGTTATGAACACCAGGGGTTGAATCACTAACTCGTACACCTTGAAACTAATATTACACTGTATGTTAACCAACTGGAATTTAAATAAAAACTTAAAAAGATAATCAGTGAAATTTGAGGTTGAAATCAGAATTAAATACCTAACAAAAAATGATAAATAAAATTTTAACAGGCTCTGAGCTTGTAACTTCAGTCAGTTACAAAATGGCATGGATTCTTAAACAAAAAAGAAAACCATTTTTTAAGAGATTTATTTACTTGGTTTTAGAGAGAGTGAGAGAGAGAGAGAGAGCGTGTGAGTGTGCAAATACACAGGGGGTGAGAAGGAAGAGAATCTCAAGCAGGCTTCCTACTAAGCGCAGAGCCCAGTGCAGATTTTGATCTCATGACCCTGAGATCATGACTTGGGCCGAAACCAAGAGTCATATAATCAACTGAATGAGCCCCAAAAGAAAATCATTTTAAGGGCATGGGGGTGGCTTAGCCAGTTAAGTGCCTTCAGCTCAGGTCATGACCTCGGGGTCCTGGGATAGAGTCCTAAGTCTGGCTTTCTGCTCAGTGGGGAGTCTGCTTCTCCCTCTCCCTCTGCCCTTTCCTCTCACTTGTGCACACCCTTTCTCTCTCTCTCTAAAATAAATACATAAAATCTTTAAAAAAAAACATTTTAGATAGAAATACAGTTAGACGAAATATTTTGAGGAAAAGAGTAAAAAAGATATTTTACAAAAAGTGAACAATCTTTAGCTAAGTCATGAACATAGCACAAGGAGTACAAGACCTTTCTAATAGTATCAAAGACTGATTCAAAAGTAAAAAATCTTATATATTTTTCTATAGTTAGTTCTGTGATATGAGATGTTGCCCAATTGATAGTTTACATACGCTCTGTTTCAAAGAATTTTCAAATACATGAAAAAATATTATCAAATTGCAGTCTTAAAACTATCAATCTTGTGGTGCAGATATTTTTTAATCTTTTACATCTGTCAAAGAATTTCACCTATGTGTGAAAATTTCTATTGTGACAGTAGTTCAGCTAGGTTGGGTTGAACTCTGACTTACGAGGATTTTAATAGACTGATGCTTCTTTAATTGCTTCATTTTACTATGTGTTACATATTGGAAACACTTGCGCTCAGTTTTCTGAAGCCCACTCTATGAAATCTATCATGGATACAGTTGTTGAAATGGTTTAGTATATACTTGCAAATGCTACAATGATTCTCCAGTATGAACTGTTGAAAGAAACAGAAGACAATGGATTTAATGACACTGTGTTCCCTGCCTCTGTTCACTGATTGAGAGATAAAGGAGCTCTACAAAGACTCACTATATTGTCAACTCCAAATCAGATTTCCTTGAAATAAAAGAAAATGCTTCTCAAATCAATAATTATTTCACTCAATAATCAAAGATAGGGCAGCCCCGGTGGCGCAGCGGTTTAGCGCTGCCTGCAGCCCAGGGCGTGATCCTGAAGACCCTGGATCAAGTCCCACGTCAGGCTCTCTGCATGGTGCCTGTTTCTCCCTCTGCCTGTGTCTCTGCCTCTTTCTCTCTCTCTCTCTCTCTCTCTCTGTGTCTCTATGAATAAATAAAGTATTTAAAAATAATAATAATAATCAAAGATAAAAAATGGCAGTGGGATTGACATTTTCTTGCCGATATCCACACTCCATATAATCAAGCTAAATTCAAAGCTCCAAGGAAGGGAAAAGAAGATCTTATTTAGGACTTAACCAGACAGGTGTAAGAATTTGTGTTTCAACCTCATAATACAAGTTAACAATAATGATTTTACATATTTTTATAACATGACTCAGTGTGTAGATTTAAATTGAAATACACAGCATTATGTAAATTGGCTGCAAAAACTAAAGAAAAGCACTGTTGATATTGTTAAATTTAGAATTTCTTTTCAATTTATTCAATATTTCTTAAGATTTTATTTTATTTATTTGACAGAGAGAGCAAGTGAGATGAGGGAGGGGAAGAGGGAGAGAGAGAAGCAGACTCCCTGCTGAGCAGGGAGCCTGATGCGGGGCTCAGTACCAGAACCCTGGGATCATGACCTGAGCTGATAGCAGCTACCCAACTGACTGAGCCACCCAGGCACTGCTATTTGAATTTGATATTTTTTGTTTTGTTTTTTGTTTTTTGTTTTTAATTTTTTTTTTTTTTATTTATGATAGTCACACAGAGAGAGAGGCAGAGACACAGGCAGAGGTAGAAGCAGGCTCCATGCACCGGGAGCCCGATGTGGGATTCGATCGCGGGTCTCCAGGATTGCGCCCTGGGCCAAAGGCAGGCGCCAAACCGCTGCGCCACCCAGGGATCCCGTGAATTTGATATTAATAATACTGTGTTGACACAAGAGTTAGCAAATTTATTTAACTTGGACACAGTTTTGAAAAGTCAATTATTCTAAAAATATGAACCAGTTTTGTCAATGTACATGCAACTATTACAGGAAAATGATTTTTCTTTCAGTCACTGAAAAAGTTTATGTGGGAACAACTTCAGTATGTAAATCTACTTTTTCAATCATAAATTTTTATGAAATAGAACAAGGGTTTCAAATGAAACTTTATTGTCTGGATTAAGATGTTACAAAAATGTAAAATGCACACCAGATTTTGAAGACTCAGAATGAAAATATATAAAATATCTCACTGACTATTTTTTACATTAATAACATGTCAAAGTGGTTATTTTGGATTTTTCTGGTCAAATAAAAAATATTATTAAAATAAACTGCACCTGTTTCTTTGTACTTATTTTAATATTGCAACTAGGAAGTTTAAAATTGCACAAGTGGCTTTCATTCTATTTCTGCATTCTATTTCTGCTGGACAGCATCCTTTGCAACTGTTGCATTTCCTCAGAAGCCCATTTGGAAAGATATCACAAATGGAGACTTATTTATATATACAAGGGAGAAAAACTCACAAGAGGAAAAGAAAGCCTCTATCCTGGGTCAGAAGAAAAGAAGAAAAGGGCTCTGTGACTACAGCCTCAAGGCCTTGATGAATTTCTTAAATTCCCCGAAGTAACAGGAAGAAGGGACATGCTGTAAAGGGTCCAGTGGAAAACCCTATTAAGGTTCTGGGGAGTCCTGTGAGGGATGCCCAATCATATGGTCCATGGGTCCCATCTGTACAGATGACAACTGTCTTAGCTCAACACTAAATGCTATGGCGATGGTCAACCCAGTTGTCCTCTAGGAGCTGCCATTTTGTCCTACTTTAAATGAGAAAAATTACATTTTTAACTCTCTGGAACCCTTTCAAGCCATACAAAATTATGAGAGAGAAACAAAATGACAAAGGGAATCATCAATTCCTGGAACTACTACAATCCCTTGCAGGATACCTGACAGAATGAAGGACAACTCCCAGCCTGCATAAATCATGTCACCATTTACAAGGTGCCATTAAAGACCATGTTACACGCCGCAGAGGGACAAAGAGCAAGTATGATCACCACCATCTACATTTACAGATGGGTCACTGGGATTCACAGTGGTGTTGCCCAGGGTCATACCTACTCAGACCTGATCAGGACTCCAGCCATGTACTCTCTCTACTTTATTATAGATGCTAACTATGCAAATATGTAGGATGTTTTATATATATATATATTTTTTTTACAGTATCCTCTGTTCATACTTATAAAAGCTAAATTCTACCTTTATCTTCAGTTTTTAAAATCATAGTAAAGACTGAATAAACCTTTTTAAAAAATTTCTAAATAATCTGGATAAACAATCACGTCCCACTTCTACTCTTAGTTCTAGTGAAACAATCTTTTGCATTCTAAATATGTAAATATGTAACAACAAGGGGCGGCTGGGTAGCTCAGTCGGTTAGACATCTGTCTTTAGCTCAGGTCATGATCTCAGGGTCCTAGGATCTCAGGTCCTAGGAGCCCCACATCGGGTTCCCTGCTCAGTAGAGAGTCTGCTTCTCCCTCTCCCTCTGCGCTTCTCCCCCATCCTGCTTGTGCATGTGCACACATCTGTCAAATAAATAAAATTTTTAAAAAATGTTTTAACAAGACTTCACAAAGCCTTGCTCACCTTTAGGGGTAGCTGGTGAATCATGAAAAACCATCACAGAAAGAAGTGGATACGTTTGTTACTGGAGCCAGTGAGTGTTAAGCAAAAAGGAGAAAATGATGCCATGAACACCCAACCTTGGAAATAGATGGAGCCCAGAGAAATGTGAAAGGGGAAAAGAGCATGTGCACTGAGTCATTTCTTCCAGTGTCTTCTTCCCTAAATGATTTGTTTGGCTACACACACCTGTTTACCAATCATCATGGAAAGAATACTGGAGATCCATTAAAGCCCCAATTTTAGGGGCACTACCCAGTTTTTCCCAACTGAAATGAAAACAGTAACAGCCATAATAACAGCAATAACAAGAGCTTTTACTTATGTAGTGTGAACTCTGAGACAGACATTACTCAAAGCCAGTATATAAATTAACTTAATTAATTCTAATAACTCCAAGGTGGTTACTCTTATTATCACCATTTTGTTTATAAAGGCGATTTCTCCTACAAAGAAGGAAACTGAGGCATAGAGTCAAATACTTACTGTTTACCACTGTGCTATACACTTTACACGTGTTGCCCTATTTAATCCTTACAGTTACCTTATGAGGTAGATTCTGAAGCTCAGAAGGATGAGGAAACCTGCCCCAGCTAAGAAGAGGAAGAGCTGGGATTGAAACCCAAGCTGCTGATCCTAGCTTTTAATCACTGTATAATACTGCTGCCTCTACCTTATGGTATCATTCTTATGACACTGCCATAACCGCACTGCTCAGAGAAGGGCAGTGTAGCGGATAGTGTTACCCAGCCTGGGTGTTCCTTTTGAGGGGACCCCTGGCTGCTGTGAGCTGGCTGCCAAGACCTTATGCATGCCTTTTCTCCAGGGTCTAGCCCCTGCCCAGAAATGGGGAAGCTACATTTTCCACTTCCCCCCACAGCCAGAGGCTTCCTGATATTAAAGGACAGAAGCCAGGTCATCTTGTCTCAACTCTGAGGTACCATTAACTCTTGAGCTCTGTGGAGAAGCAACTTGGCCTAAAACTGTTATCTTTGCTTGGCTTCTTCTCCCACTGTCTGTCCCCCAACCCCTTGCTCCCAAGTGAGTTTCTCCCAAGAGCTTCCACCTGCCCCCCCCCCCCAGTAAATAACTCATACAAGAAACCTCGTTTCCCCTTCTGCTTCTAGGGAGCCTCATGTGGGCTTTATTAAGCACAAACAGCAAAGTTTTAGATTGCAATCAAACTAGCACAGAGGATGCACCAGAATTAATACTGTTGGCTTTTTAGACAAAAGTATTTTTATCTTTAAAAAAAAAAAAAACCACATTTTTGCTTAAGTGCTTCAGGATGAAAGCTAAAACATTTATGTAATACATCAAATGGATCTTAAACACTTACTTCACTAAAGAAGCTTTGCGACACAGTTTGTCAGCCCCCCTGTAGTAATTCACCAACTGCATCAGCCCAGGCTCGTGACCTATAAAGGAAAGAGGAGGCTCAGAAGGGAAAGAGGACAGGTGGGAAATGACAATGTCAGCACCAGCATGCTGAAGAGAGAACAGCTGTGTCATGCCCAGCTTTCCTTTCTCCCATTTCAGGACTGGTTGGTGAAAATGGAACAATTCCGTTGCCCACCTGTACTCCTCTTTCACAGCATGGCACTGGAAACCCTCCCTCGCCCCATGGTGGATATTAGGGTATCAACATCCTAGCTCTGCCAAAGACGCTGCTGCCTTTATCTTCCTAGGGTGGAAGGGTACTTTCTATTTCTCTTGATCCCCACCACACTCTACTCTTCGCTTAACACAGAGGGACTTAATAATTTCTGTACAATACAGCTTTCATAGTCATGCTTTGACACCCCAACCTTGGTTTTCTACAGCCATCAAGGAGAAGGCAAAAGAACTACAATATTGCTGTTCTCAAGCATGTCTACCTCTGCAAGAGTCTAAGAGAGACACAAGACGTAAACGAAGGTGGAGAAGCCATGTCTATAAAATCAAAAGCCCTGAGGATTTTCTTTTGTGTATCCTCCACAGAGAAACTCATCCTCAATAAATCTTATTGCTTATCCCCTCCTCTATAAAATAGAGCAGAAAAGATACATACAAAAACAAAAGCCTCAATTTTTATTTGAAATCCTAACAAAATGTATTGACTTTCCAGCAACAAAAATAAAAGTAAAACCAAAGGAGTTTGAGTAGAAGATGCCAGAGGTAAGAACATGTCTGAGAAAAGCATATAATTGCATAAAAATATTTAGGTACTAACTAGCTCTCAGGGTCTCCCTGGGGCAGATGTACCTGGCTCACACCTGAACCACCTACCTTCTCATCTCCATGGCACCAAGCATTCCTGACACTTTACCTTGCTCTATAAGCCATCTCATTGGGTTTCACACAGTGCACTTACAGCAAAAATTAAATATCTCTAACACCGAAGACACATAAATATATGGGAGTAGGATTCTGTTTTCTTTTCCATAAAAGTCAAATGTTTACTTATCATCTGCTGACTCTGTGGTCCTGTTTAGGATTTGGACCCTATAAATTTCTGCTCCTTTTCCCTCTAGTCCTGAGCATCATAGCAATGCCAACCACCCCTGCTTCAGCCCCAGTAGAGACAATTTGGTCTGTTTTTAATATCAGGATTCCCCCTAAACTTTTACAGCCAGGCATTGACCAGTCCAGGGAAGAAGGTAAGTCAGTATGGCAGGGAAGTGGACAGAGCAAGAAGGAAATATATTTTCTCAACTATAAGTATTTCTTCTTTCAGGAAAGGTATCCTCTTTGCTGAAGGTTTCCTGGAGAGACAGGTTAACAAAAGCGAATCTCCAGACACATTCCCTGTAGTCTCAGAGTTCTGGGGGTTGGAATCAGCCCCTCCATGGAGTCCCCATCACGCATACATTCTAAAGTTGTATAACAATAAAAAGCTGTCCATGGTACCATTCCAAAGAAAAAATTCCCATAAGGCTATGCAACACCCTTCCTTCCTGAAATTACTACAACTATACAAGCCCCTCACGGAAGAGCTGTCATGTAAGCTCACCAGGAGCCAGTCAGTTCCAAATGGCCTGTTTTCAATCTGCCCATTCAACCTCTCTACCCTCTGACCACACCTATTTCTAAAGACTGTGTCTTCTGCTGGACACTGAACACCACCCTCTCTGGGTTGCCTTCCAGGGCAGAGATGACCTTTCCTCATCATTGATTTTCGTCTTCTGTCTTTGGCAATTCGATTTGGTCCCCACCCCAGGAGAGTTTTGGAAAGGGACATAGCTACTCTGAGAGAGGCTGCATCTCCAGGATGACTGCGCAGTGCCGAGAAGCCACGAGACTGTCCAGGTCAACGGGAGGTAAGTTGAAGTGATCTGCACAACTTCTCGATGACGTCATCCAGAAAGGCGCTGCCGGTCCTCTCCTTTCCCCTGCTCCTCCCTACAGGCGAGGATGTGGACATGACGATGCCCAGCCAGCATCAATCATGTGAGTGAGGCTAACTCCCTCGGGATGGGCAGGGCAGAGAAGTGGAACACAGGGGGAAGCCAGTGTCATGTAAAATCCTCGGGGAAGCTAAGGAAAGGGCTAAACCAGACACCCTTCGGCCCTTCCCCGGCCGGGCTCACTTCTGGAACTCCTGCCTTTGGGTTCTAGAGGTCTTTTGCAAATCCCCAGTGTGTGTGAGCCCTCGGGGAGCTGAATCGGCAGCGTTTTCACCACGCACGAGGATCCCCCCCGCGCCTACACCAGGCGGGGTGGAATCCGCCGCGCAGGAAATCCGCAAGAGGACTCAGCCTGAGGCGGGTCGCGCGCCGGCTCCGCGGGGCCTGGTCCCGCCGCAGCTCTGCGGTGCGCGGTGCGGGGGCGCCCGGCCGGGGCGGGGCGGGAACGGGCGGCCCACGCCCCCCGGGCTGCAGGGACGCGCCATTGTCCGGAGGCGGCGGCGGCCGGGAACCCCGCTTACGGGACGGGAAGGCATGCAAAGCGGCTGGGCTTTAGACCTCTCCGCATCCTTCTGCTCCATGCCCGAGGAACGACGGAGAGGAAGATTTATGACCTTAAGACAAAAGCGCTGGTGCCGAGGGCCGTGGGAGGGGCGGGAGGGCGGGGACCGGGAGCGCTCACCCAGTCTCCCGAAGGGCAGCCGGTTCCTCTCGCCCAGCATCAGGTTGAACCTGGGGTTGTCGCGCCTCAGCCTCTTCCAGTGCCCGGTGGCGAGCAGCAGCCGCGACACCTCGGCGTAGACGCTGCTGTTCTCGTCGCGCACCACGAAGGTGTACATGGCGAAGGGCCGTGCGCCCGGGTCGCCCGGGCCGCCGCCGCAGGGACCAGCCGGCAGGGGGGCGGCTCAGTGCGGAAGCCGCCCGGACGCCCGCCGCCGCGCCGGCTCCCCGAGCCACTGGGGTCCCGGTGGCGCCGCGCCCGGGCGCCCGCGCGTCAGCCCGGAGGCCGCGCCCCCTCCCCGTCCCGTCCCCTCCCCGTCCCCTCCCCGTCCCCTCCCCCGGCAGCTCCCGGCGCGGCCCCGCCCCCCGCCCCGTGATGCCGCGCGGCTGTCCGGAGGCCGCGCCTCCTCCCCTCCCCCTCCCCCTCCCCTCCCCCCTCAGCTCCCGGCGCGGCCCCGCCCCCGCCCCGTGATGCCGCGCTGCCGTCCGGAGGCCGCGCCCCTCCCCGACCCCTCCCCTCCCCCTCCCCGGCCCCTCCCCATCCCCTCCCCGTCCTCTCCTCCTCCCCTCCCCTTGTCCCCTCCGCCTCCCTCTCCCCTCCCCCCTCAGCTCCCGGCGCGGCCCCGCCCCCGCCCCCTGCTGCCGCACGGCCTTCCGGAGGCCGTGCCTCCTCCCCGTCCCCCCTCCCCGTCCCTCCTCTCCCGTCCCCTCCTCCCGCAGCTGCGGGAGCGGCCCCGCCCCCGCCCCCTGCTGCCGCACGGCCTTCCGGAGGCCGTGCCTCCTCCCCGTCCCCCCTCCCCGTCCCCCCTCTCCCGTCCCCTCCTCCCGCAGCTGCGGAGCGCGGCCCCGCCCCCGCCCCGTGATGCCGCGCGGTCGTCCGCACCCCGGCTCGGTTGTCAGGCGGGGGCGGGGGCGGGGGCCGCGCTCCGCAGCTCGCGCTGTTCCCTGCTCCGGGCTCCCGGGGGGCTGGCGGCTGGCCGGGGCGAGCGCGGCTTTGGCGCACCCTTGATAAGGTGCTACTTAGGGAGAACGGAGACGACGCGGCCCCCTGAGTCCCGGGTCCCAGCCAGGGAGCGGTGCCAGCCGAGGATCCCCTTCTGTGCCGCACGTTGCGGCTCCTCCACCCTACTGTTCCGAAGGGAAGATTTGTCGGTGAAGATGAAACGTTCCAAAGCCCAGACCCGTGTCTGCGGATGGAAATCGACAAGGCAATTCTAAAATGTATGCAGAAACGCAAATGTCGAAGAATAACAAAAGCAATCTTGATGAAGAAAGTTGGAAGACTTAATACTCCCAGATATCAAGACCTATAAAAGTTACAGTATTTAAGCACAAAGCTATCGTCATTAAGAAAATGTGGTTTGGGCACAGGAGAGACAAGTAGACCAAAGGAAAGATACCTATCTACCCATCGATTGATAGATATAGTCACTTGGTTTATAACAAAGGTGACATTGTAGATCAATGGGGGGAAAACGGACTTTTCAATAAATGAGGCTGAATCAGTGGATCTACATTTGGAAAACAAAATTAATCTTGACCTGTATAGTACACAAAATCAGTTGCAGATTCATTGTGAGTTGATGCATCTAAATATGAAGGTAAGGCAATAAAGCTTTTAAAAGAAAACGAGAAAATCTTTATAAACTTACATTAGGTAAAGATCTTAAAGAGGACACAAAAAAACCTCTAGGGATAAAGGAAGAAACTGATGAATTAGCAACCTTGAAAATAAGAACGTTTATTTATCAAAAAAAACACCATCCAGAGAACGAAAAGGAAAGCCACAGAATAGGATATGATGTTTGGCACATGTGTGTGTGTGTATATATATATATATATATATGACTGAGGATCCATATTTAGGAAATAGGAGGAATTACAAATTAATAATTTAAAAAACTGGCAAGCTAATTACGAAAGAACTGAGCTGGGTATTTTAAGGGAGAATCCAAAAGGTAAACTCTCAGTGTAAGAGAATATTTGGAGAAAAGTCATAGGAAGACACTAAATAAAGAATATGTTGGGCTAAGAAGCAAGGCCACATCTAATACTTGTAGGGCAATAGTATAAATGAAAGCCATATGTGTAAATGTCTACCATATGTCCAAATATTTTGAAGCTATAAACCATGCCCATAAGCTGCTAGATAAAATATCTTCCTGCCTTACAAATACATAATGATAAGGATGACCTGGAAAGCCAAGATTTCTAGAATTTTCGGATTCATGGAAGTTCAATGCCAGAAATTGGAAATACTGAAAGAGATGACACTGGCCTCTGTCCATGGCCTGCCCCTGTTTCTTCCCTTCCTTGATTCCATCCAGCTCCATGAGGGGGCCATGCCTATATGCATGGGGACACTACAGCCAGGAAATTCAAGCTCCATCTACTTACCCAGAACCTTCCACAAACAGCTGCATTTTGGCAACTGCCCAAGCAGAGGGGTACACAAACCACCAATGTCATTGACCCTTTGGAGACTAGACCCTGGGAACAAGCCAGTGCCGGATCAGAACAAGAGCTGAGGTATTTGGATCATGAATTCTGGTTCTCAGATACTTAGCATAGTCTAGAAAGGGGAAGGGACTATATCCCCGGACTATATCCCCTTGGCCTCACAAACATCTCATCCATAGGGAGGGACATGGCTAAAGGAGGGTCAGACTGGGAGTCTCTAAAGTAAGGGTCTTTCTTACATGGGCCTAAGGGTCATATTCCTAAGAAATAATCTTCAGAATCCCCCTCTATCCTTTCCCTTTCTCTGCTCTTTGTGTCCTATACTTGGACACCAAACAACTAAAAATTGTTTTTCTCTCATTATCTCTCATGTTACCACAATCACGTTATGCTTTGGGTTTTGCATCTGTCTTCTTCCTTTAGCCCCTTTACCTCTCCAGTCTTCCCTGAATGTCACTACCAAATTAATCTTTCTAAAACATAGCATTCCTCATATCTACCCACACATCAAAGACTGCAACAGTGCATTGAAGCCAGCATCCTCAATTTCAGAGTCGTAGCCTTTTATTAAGTCTTTCCATTGTACCTTTATTGCCACACTCACCACACTAACCAAAGTCTTTGAAGTGCCCTGATCATCATCAAGGTCAAATGAAAGTGTGTTAGATAGCTTTAATGTTGAGTGTGCATTAACCTTTCCAAAACTGATGAATCATATGCCAGATGGATCATAAAGTTCCTATTAAAGCCTTTTTTTTAAGAATTTATTTATTCAGGGGATCCCTGGGTGGCGCAGCGGTTTAGCGCCTGCCTTTGGCCCAGGGCGCGATCCTGGAGACCCGGGATCGAGTCCCACGTCAGGCTCCCAGTGCATGGAGCCTGCTTATCCCTCTGCCTATGTCTCTGCCTCTCTCTCTCTCTCTCTGTGACTATAAGAAAGAAAGAAAGAAAGAAAGAAAGATGCCTATGTCTCTGCCTCTCTCTCTCTCTCTCTCTGTGACTGAAAGAAAGAAAGAAAGAAAGAAAGAAAGAAAGAAAGAAAGAAAGAAAGAAAGAATTTATTTATTCATGAAAGATACAGAGAGGCAGAGACATAGGCAGAGGGAGAAGCAGGCTCCCTAGTGGGGAGACCCATGTGGGACTCGATCCTGGAGGCATCCCAATCAAAGCCTTTACTTAGCTAGCATTTTCTACCTCAGAATTGGGCTAAATAAAATAAGACTTACTATTTCTTTAGACCGAGGTCTTGGTTGCTCTTGAGCACTTTGGAGGTAGGATTGCCTCTTCCTTCAATAGAGCCTTTTGACACCCCTCCCTGAAATAGAATGCAACTCATACTCTTCTACTCTAGAACACCTGTGTTTAACAAGTCCTTGTTCCAGACCATGTTCAAGGCGTGGAGGACACAAGTCCTTGTCCTCACAGAGCTCCATTCCTGGGGAAGCTAACATTTTTCTGGATGCTACCTAGAGGAATTGAACTGGAGAAGCAAATATCCCTACAGTTTCTGCTGCTGGAATTCTGGGTTGGAGTGAGTGTGGGGACAGGAATACCTTTTAGAAACACTGACATCTCAACATGTAGGATGAAGCTGGTTATGTCCATATGGCACCTGAGTCATTTTCTCCTCTATTTCCTGTTCTTCCTAGATGCAATAGCTCCCACACAGAGATGAAGGAAAATAGAAAAATAACTCAGTGTGTTGTACTCAAAGGGCATTGTGAAATCTAGAGTTACAGGGTGTCAGTGACTGTGAGGTTTTGTCCATGCCTCCTATCCAGAGGCCTCTGATGGAGCCCATACTCTCTTTCTATGGACCATGTTGCTACAACGTGATGCATGCTCAGAGTTTGCACACAGGGTAACAGGCCCATTGATGACCAACTTAATTAGATATTGGTAGCATCTTTTCTATTCTTGTTTTTTTTAAAAGATTTTATTTATTTATTTGAAAGAGAGAGCACAGTTGGGGGAGGGGCAGAGGCAGAGGGAGAAGCAGGCTCCCCACTGAGCAGAGATCCCCATAGGGGGCAGATCCCATGACCCTGCGATCCTGACCCAAGCCAAAGGCTCGTGCTTAACCAACTGAGCCACCCAGGCATCCCATGACATCTTTTCAAAGAAATGAAAATATTGATACATTTAAGATAATTTTCTCCATCCTGTAAAATTATGATAACTAGTAGTGCTAAGGAGCTAGGAATACAAGAGGCATTTGAGAGGGGAGAATCATGGGATACCTGGGTGGCTCAGTGCCTGAGTGTCCGCCTTTGGCCAAGGGCGTGATCCTGGAGTCCCAGGATCAAGTCCCACATCAGGCTCCTTGCATGGAGCCTGCTTTTCCCTCTGCCTGTGTCTCTGCCTTTCTCTCTCTGTATCTCTCATGAATAAATTAATAAAACCTTTAAAAAGAGAGAGAGAGAGAGGAGAATCATTAGGGAAAATTTCCTAGAAGAAACCAGTTTTGAAACCAATCTAGAATGGAAGGAAACTGAGTCCCATCTGTATTGACCGAAGGAAAGGCCAAAGGCTACATCTGCCTCTACCCAGTTTATACCTCATCTGACTTTGGGTATCACTACGAATACCTCAACAAGAAACATCAAGGTTTTACTAGTTCATTCCTTCACCTACATAACTCCTGAGGCTGCCACTTGTGAAATTCTCTTTTCCTCATATATTCCTGGGAGGGGGCTTTCCTTCTCATACCAAGCCTCCTCTGTGGTTCTCTGGCCTGTAGTGCTCCTCAGGGTGAATCCTACCCTTCTCTGGTGTTCTCCCAAAGCTGGAAAGACCATCCAAGTGT